CATGGTTCTGCAGTCTGTCCCCCGACTTGGACGGCGACACCTGGAGCGCGTTTCTTTTATTCTCGGCGACAATGAGCATTTTAGGGGGGGGGGGGAGAGGCCAGCGGGGGGGCGTGTCATGTAACGCCGCCCCCCGCGGTGCGCACGGCGGCAGTGCTCGGAGCGCACCTGGGGGGGGGGAGGGGCGTTACGCTATTGGGGGGGGGGGAGGGGGGCCGGGAGCCATCATGCCCACTATGCCCATAATGCCCACCAAGATAAACAAAAAAAAAAAACGCTCCTATCACAACGGCCGCGTGACGCTGCGAGGCCCGACCGTCATGCCCGCGGCCGTCTCAACCTCCAGGCTGACCGCGGCGGCAGAGCCTCGGGGGGCGCAGGCGGCGGAGGGCGCGGAATCCCGCTGGCGAGTGATCGGGACGGATGGCAGTTCCCAAAAGGGAAGACACGCGTCGGGGGCGCGCAAACGTGGACTATCGGGTCGGGCGAAAGGGGGGGATAGCAAAGGGGGGGTTTGAGAATCAGCTCGCGTAGCTGATTTTCCCGGCGCCTCCCGGCGCCGGAGGCGGCCATGTATCAAGGAATGGGCCCCTCGGTGACGCCGAAACCAGCTGCATGCAGCACCCCCCTTTCCCAATCCCCCCCTTTCGCCCGACCCGAGATTAGCGATCCATGGACTCGGCGCGAGGTCGCCAAATCCATGGATCGGGGGAGGTACACACTCCCCAAACTGCGGCCGGTGCCGCCCCGTTCGGCGGCGGAAATCATGCGATTGCCAACGGAAGCGGGACCACCCACCGCCTGGGAACCGAAGTCCTGGCGCCCCGGCGGGAGTGGATCTGGATACATTTTGGCACCCGGGGGCCCGAAAATATCCATGCCCACCGCCTGTGGAGGTCCGCGAAGGTCGACACCACAGGCGGTGGTTATGGATAAATTGCCGGCTCGGAAAGCCCACACGGGAAGACATGCGTGGTGCAAAAGTACGAGCTCGGCGCAAAGACAGCCCCCCCGAGGTAGCCCCGGCAGGCCTCGACAGGCCCCCCGAATAGCCCAAACCCAAACATGCGACGTCCTGAGTTTTCCAGGACGGCGTCCCTCGAAGCCCCGACCCTTTCCCCAGGACCGGTTTTTCGTCCTGAGTCGTTTTCTGACGGCCCCGAGGCCCGGCGAGGGCCCCCCCGGGGCCGAAAATAGCCCAAAGCCTCCCGTCCTGATTTTTGTAACGACGCGATCATGTCTGGGAAGCGGCCTTGGCACCCCAGCGCCGCGGCGTCGAGATCGGCCCCAGGCTCTGCGCGGGAGGCCCGCGGGAGCTAGCCGGAAGTGCCTCTGGGAAAGCTCTGTGTGTGTGCGCAGCCCGAAACCTTCTTGCCAAAGATGGACGTGCTGAGGTTTCTAAACTTTGGTGGCGGGCTGAAGTGCGCTGCCATGAACATCCTCCTCCTCCTCCTCCTCCTCCTCCTCCTCCTCCGGCTCCGTCTCCGTTTCCTCCTCCTCCTCCTCTTCCAGCTCCTTCTCCTCCTCCTCCTCCTCCGTCTCCGTGTAATGAGAAGGGAACAGGGCGCCTCCAAGTGGAGGCAGGCTCGAGTGTGAGCAAGTCACTTTCGAAAACCAAGTCTCGGAGATAGATGACTATCGATAGCCGCCCCCCGAGAGGGGTGTGTAACTGTCCAGCTGTGGCCTCGCTGCTGACTGGCACCCTTCACCATTATCCCAGCATTCTCTTCCTCCTCCTCCTCCTCCTCCGTGACCTTTCCGGGCCAATATTGGGGCCTTGTGAAAACACAAAAAAGTGTTCATGTGTATGGTAGGGTTTGGTGGTATCCCTGACAAAAATAACAACATTTGCGGGATTCCAGACCTGGACAGCAAAGCTAAGGAAACCGTCCAACACTTCTCGGAGATCTGCAAATTTTGGGGAGGACCCTTCGAATGAGATTCCGGAAAGTTTGGCGTCACACGTATTGGGAGCCAATTAGAAACAACCTTCCGGGACAAAGTGCAACCATCACCCGCAACGTTTCGAACATCCTTGACAAACGCCGTAACGAACTCATCGGCTACCGTGCGATGCTGGCTTGTCGTCTGAAGCCCACTTAACCTTCCACGATCTATCCACGACAAGTTGTGTATAGTAGGGTTTGCTGGCCGCGCTCTTCCCGCAAAGTTTCTTGGCCAAGTGTGCGGCCCCCCTGATCACCAAAACGGAATAACCTGTGTATGGTGGGGTTTGGTGGTATCACCGACCACAACAACATAACAACCTGTGTTTGGTGAGGTTTGGTTGCCATCGACGTCCTCCTGACGGAAAGAGACGGAAAGAGGAGGGACCGAACCAACAACAGGGGTGACACAAACACAGGAAGCGAACAAGTGTATGCTACAGTGGGGGCGACCATACATGCATATACACATAAACACATGCAAGTATACACGTACACACGTATGCAACATAGGCATATACTTGAAATGCATGTTGTGTATGTGCCTGCGCGTATGTATGTATCTATGTATGCTTGTATGCACATGTATCTAAGATTGGGATACAACCGCGCGCGCTTCGCCCGCGCTGCGGTTCGAGCAAACTGTTTTCGGTGTGGTCGCACATGTTCGTCATCGAAACGCATCGATTGTGACACGTACAGACGGGCGTTGACCTAAGGAACCCTAAATAAGGAACGGGGCCCCTTTTTTTCCACAAGTTAAACTTCGATTTCCGATCGAAAGCATAGAAAGGGAAACCTGGGGCAAGCTGTGAAGCACTTAAGGAACACGGACCCCCCCCCAACGAAAAAGGTTCCTTCTTCAGGGCCCCGGCTGTATCGTGCCCCCGATGGAGCTGTGCCGTCGGACCCCCCAAGGCAACTTTGGCTTAGCGCCCCCCCGCCGACGTCGGCACGCCCCTCACAGGGATCGCGCCGCGCAAGGATCGCCCCCCAGAGACAAGGCTCGCAGAATGGCAAGCCTTTCGCGCGGACCGCGCCCCGAAAGCGATGGCATTTTCGGTACCCGACGGATGCTTCACAGTCGCCCAGCTCACGGCGGCACGCCTCTCACAAGGATCGTGGCCCGCAGCGAAGAATTCCACGGACGGCCCCGCCGCCGACGCCCGGCCGCCAGCGCCCAGCCGCCAGCGAAAAAGAGACAGAAAACAACGCGATTGGGGGAGTGTAGGGGGGGCGGGAAGCAACAGACAGAGGCAGGGGCCGTCGGCGCCGCCACCGCCGCAATGTTTCCATGTTTCGCATTCGAACGGAGTTCCCGCCGCCGCGAAGGAAACGGTCCCCTAATGTTTGGTCGGGCATGTCCCCCTACAGGCGTAGTTTGAACGAAAAACGAAAAATACCCCAACGATACACCAAAAAAGGATCAAACATAGTCGAACAACCGTCCCCGAACTATGTTCTACTATTTTTGAATACCCCCCTGCACAAAGACAGGCCCGACTCAACCCGAACCAAGCGGGCTCAAAGCCCAGGATCCATTCGGTCGTTATTCGGTTGCCTCGGGACCCACCGAGGGCCTGGGGACCCGAAGACGGGAAAAACCTGCCAGGGCCCATTTCTTCCTGCAGGACGCGCGTCCACCGCGGCGCCCCGCAGCGAATCCAAGAAGGCGAGCCAGCCAGGCGCAGGGCGAAGCTCTGCGCGCCCGCAAGGGGCGTGGGAAAAGTGGGCGTGACGTCCACAAGCACATGTTGTCAGACACTGGCAGCGGCCACTGATGGGCAGAGACCCGTCTCATCGAAGTGTTACCGTCTGCGGCGACGGCCACAAAATGCAAAACTGCTGTCGGTGCCCTTTTCCACACATTCCGTGCCCGCTTCGAACGCACCAGAAAGCTGCCTTAGGTTGGGCCTGTCCCCCTGCAGGGGGATTTTAAGCGAAAGTGCAACAGTGCTCACAAAATGCCCCCAAATAGTCCAACAAATAATCAACATATAGTCCACATACTTTTTGGGGATTACCTTTTGTCCCCACATCCTAAGTGGGGTTCTTGTTTTCTCTGGACGGCCGCGGGCTACTCACCCACCCACACCCAGTCATTCACACACACAAACACATACACACATCATGATCAGCATCCTCGGGCACTCCATGCGAGCCCGCTCGCGCGGAAGGGAATTCCAACGGCTATCGACATCAACGAGCCCGCTCGAACGGAATGACCCTCAGGGGCATTCCATGCGAGCCCGCTCGCGCGGAAGGGACCTCCCCTGTGGCCACTAGGGGGTCCCACCTAAAAGTTGGAATTCCAACGGCTATCGGGAGCAGCGAGCCCGCTCGAACGGAATGACCCTCAGGGGCATTCCATGCGAGCCCGCTCGCATCCTCGGCCATCAACCATCGGCAAGCCCTCGAGTCCTCGAGACCGCCGCATGCGTTTTGCCTCCGGCCCGAAGCACCGGCTCCCTCAACGTCTGGGCTGGAAGTGGCAAGAGGGCCCACCACCGCCCCTCTGCTTCTAGCTCCCCAGTGCTGGGCATGCTTCTTTAGCAGAGGGCTCCCAGATGGGGTCCGAGCAGATGGGGTCGGAGGGTCGCGCGCATCGCCAATTCATCACCGATGCATCGGCGACAGCGGCGATGCATCGGCGACGTCGGCGTGGAGAAGATCTGGCTCCACATCGAACCGCACCGCCGATGCATCGGCGATGCCGCGCGATGCTCCGATCCCATCTGCTCGGAGCCCGTCTGAGAGGCCTGGGTAAACGTTTTTTGATTCGGCGTTTCGACATTGGGCGGATGGGGGGGAGAGGGGAGGGTCTGGCTCCAAACCTTTGCTTACTGCGACTGTTTGCAACAGTGCGTCCTCTGGTGGAGACTCCACCCGCTTGAGACAGGCGCAAAAAACAGCCAAGGTCTACTCCATGGAGGGGGGGGAGGGGGGGGGGGCGAGGGCCCGCCCCGATCGGCAAAATAATGAATAAGGCAACTCTCACCAGACCAATGCTGGGCATGCTTCTTTAAGACCCGCCGGGGAGCCGGCGCCCACCACCGTCAGCAGGGCCACCCGCGCGGCCGACTGGAAGGCGAAGCGGAGGGGCAGAGTGCCTGTTCGCCCCGCGCGCAGCGGAGGCATGCGGGCAGCACGGCAGTCCTGCACGGCTTCCCCCAGGGCTGTAGGCGACCCGAGGAGGAGGAGGAGGGGGAGGAGGTGGGGGAGGGGGAGGAGGAGGAGGAGGAGGGAGGAGGAGGAGGACGAGGAGGAGGACGAGGAAGGGGAGGAGGAGGGGGAGGTGGAGGAGGAGGAAGAGGAGGAGGAGGAGGACGAGGAGGAGGAGGAGATTGACAAGGAGGGAGGAGGAGGAGCAGCAGGGGGAGGAGGAGAAGGAGGAGGAGGAGGAGTTGGCGGCGCGCACAAGGGGGTAGGGGGAGGGGGAAGGCTTCTTAGAAGGATGCTGCTCCTTAGGAGGCGCCAGGCCTTACATCCCCAGACGAGGCCCGCGCCTTCTCAGAAACCGGGTGCTTCTAAGACGCTTTCCCCCCTTCCCCTACCCTGAAGTCGTGCCTGTCCTCCTACAGGGGGATCCTGGACGAAAAATAAAAAAGTCGAAACATATACCAAAATGAACAAAACATGCTCAAACAATCGTCCCCTTACCATTTTTTGACTGTGCTTGAGTATTCCTCCTTGAAGAGGGACAGGCCCGACTGAACCCTGCCCCCCTCTGCGCGTGGCCGAGTGATCCAAAGGGGGTGGGGGCACGGCCAGAGATCGGTGTGGACTTCGACCTCTCTGGGTCTCTCGGCACGCACAGTCCGTACAAAAAGGGACAACACACCCGCGGAGCACTTCAGACATGGGCGGAGTCGCATTCGGCGGCGACGAGAAGGGCGAATAGCACATGGGGCGGGCATCACACGCATTTGCCCGGGAGCCTCGTCGAAGGCATAGATCGTCGCCACCGCTGGATACATGTATTGCTCTCCCCTGGGCTATTCGCCCCTACCGTCGCCTCTGATGCATGTCGACCCCCCCCAAAGAAAAACACCACAGGCGAGCAATGTCTTCTTCTTCTCCTCGCGCCGGCCATCTTCGCTCGCTGTCAGCATCCTACAGAAATCTCATGCGTACGTGTCGGCATCTGCTGCTGCCCTGGTAAGCCATTGGAAGTAACCGCGCGAATGCTTTTCTCGGTCTGCCATTACACCTTCACTGATCTGCGACTACATTGTTGCCCAGCCGAAGAACTGTCACTTCATGTGTTTCCCCCTCTTGAATCATGAATGTTGCCTGTCGGAAAGGGAAGCATGCCGAGCGTCGTCGAACGAAAACATATCTTTCCCTTGCTTTCTTCACTTCCCCGAGAGTCCTCCATCGGGAGCGCTGCCAACCACGTTGTGCTGGACGTCGTAGATGGTAACAGCGCCAACACTGAACGCCAGTGTGTATGCGGAGGGATGGGGCGATGAGGGACATTGAGGCAAGAGGTGGGGAAGAGGACAGGAACATTGAGGTAAGAGGTGGAGGCATTGAGGCACGGGCGGAAAAAGATGACTGACTTGCACTTGCCTTGCCCCGTTGGATTACCAAATCCTGGAGAGCCGGCGTTGAAGCTTGCTCGCATCCAGAGTACGAACACCCGCGACGTGGGCCGACGCCTCTGGCCGAGGCGACCTGTGGGCGGCGTGTGCCGGTCATAGACATCACAACTGCGCAGTCAGAACGCTTCGGAACTCCGCGCGGATCTGTTGGATCGGCGCTGGCGCGCTCCGCGCGCCAGGGGCGACGCCGGAAGTGCCGCCAGCGGGTTCCAGCGCCGATCCGAGAAGTCCGCGCGCGCGGAGCTCCGAAAATTGAGCGACGATCAAACATGGGCATTGCGCGAGATGGCACGGCGACCTTGCGCCGCGGCTTGCGAGGGCCGCCCGCGCGGCACGCCACAGTGGAGACGAGCGCTCTGACGCGCGAGCTTAAGCGGGCAGCTTGCGCGCCAGTGTCGGTGACGACGACCCCTTTCTACTGCGTCGCTCAATGTTGAAGGGGCCCTGGGACACACAAATAAATACACACAAGTAACAGGATTCCCCATATTTTCCCATATGTTCTGGATTTCTGTCTTCCCCTCACTTCCCATATCTTCCCGTATTTTCTGGGGAACCGACGATTCATTGTGTCTGTGTGTTTCTTCCCCTCCTGAAATGTCTGCTCCTGCATTCCTGTGGCTGTTTTGTGGGCGGCGTGTGCCGATGTGGCCCCTTCGGCCTTTGGCGCTGAGACCAACGGCGCGGGCGCGGGGCGCCCTCCCACGGCGCTCGCGCGAGCCCGCTGTGTCCGCACGTGGCAGTACTCTAGAGGGCCCCCCAAACCTGGCGCCAGCTTTCGAAAGGGCAGACCCCGATTCCCTGGAAAAGGCATTCGTGCTCCCTCGCGTTGTCTGCGCTCCGCCCCTGCTGCAAAACGAGGTCGGAACGAAACCAACACACCGTTTGTCGGGGTCGGCCAAGAGGGGGGCGTCCAAGAGGGGGCGGCGCCAATCATGACCAGCGGGATGTGCGCGGCCCCCGGGGGGGGGGCCAGGGACGTAATGAAATAAGAAGAAGCGCCACGAAATCTGAGGGAACATCATGGCCCACGCCATGATGGCCACCCCCCTCTAGTCATGACCCCCCGAGCTTAGCTCGAGCCCTGAATTCAGACATGCACCGATCGCTCCGATCGCCAGAGCCTGCCGCGAGGGGGAAAGGGCCCAGACTTGGGTCGGGCATGTCCTCCTGCAGGCGGATCTTGGAGGAAGCGTAGAACGTAGTCAAACAATGTGAAGGGGCCCTGGGACACACAAATATATACACACAAATCAAACTATTTCCCATATTTTCCAATATTTTCTAGGTTTCTGTCTCCCCCCCACTGCCCATATCTTCCCCTATTTTCTGGGAGTCGAGGATTCATTGTGCCTGCGTGTTCTTTCCCCTCCTGACAATGTTCCAAGTAGTCCACAAATAAGCGAAAGGTCGTCACCAGACTATCTTGTGGACTACTCTTGGAATAAGTCCTCCTGCAGAGGGACATGCCCGACATCAGCCCGGGCGGAGACGGGCCCCAGAGCCTGCCGCGAAGGGGAAAGGGCCCCCCAGACTTAGGTCGGGCATGTCCTCCTGCAGGCGGATCTTGGAGGAAACATAGACCGTAGTCAAACAATGTTCCAAGTAGTCCACAACTAACTAATCGAGAGATCGTCACCAGACAATCTTGTGGGCTCCTCTTGGAAAAAAAGTCCTCCTGCAGAGGGACATGCCCGACATCCGCCCGGGCGGAGGCGGGCCCCAGACCCCGGGGAGGCCCCCGGGGGGCTTCCTCCCCACGGACTCCCGGGATCGGCTCCTCCTCCCTGGGGGGGCCTGGAGGGCACGCAGCGGGCGAAAAGCCTCTCGGGTCGGGCCACACCTTCCTCCCTCCCCTCCTCCCTCCCCTTCTCCTCCCCTTCTCCCCTCCCCTCCTCCCCTCCTCCCCCCTCCCTCCCCTCCTCCCTCCCCTCCTCCCTCCCCTTCCTCCCTCCCCTCCTCCCTCCGAGCCCACGCACGAGCAAGAACTCTGGCCCTGGGTCCTGCATCGCCCCCGCTGGCACCCTCCCATGGGCAGGAGCGCGGTGGAGCAGAGATACGGAGACATCGACGCCACTGTGAAGGTGCGCCACGAGCATGGCAGCGCGCGCGCAACATGGAGCGGATTCGCGTGGGCGGGACCCCCATTCGGGTCGGGCAAAAGGGGGGGATAGCAAAGGGGGGGTTTGAGAATCAGCTCACGTATAGCTGACTTTCCCGGCGCCTCCCGGCGCCGGAGGCGGCCATGTATCGAGGAATGACCCCCTCGGTGAGGCCGAAACCAGCTGCATGCAGCAGATTTCGTAACCCCCCCTTTCCCAATCCCCCTCTTTCGCCCGGCCCGAGCCTCGGGAACCCCCTGGCGAAGCCTTCGGGCTGACAGCCCCCTCCGGCGGTCCCAGACTCGGGGGCGGCAGAGAGGGGGGCGTCCAAGAGGGGGGGAGCGCGCAAATCATGGCCGGCGGCATGTGCGCGGCCCAGGGGGGGGCCAGGGACGTATTGAACTGTGCAGCGGCGCCCTGAAATCTGGTGAGATATCATGGCCCCCGCCATGATATCCTCCCCCCCCCCTAGTCATCACCCTCCTCCAGGCTGCCCCCAACACAGATGGCCCGATTGGGCCCCCCGAGTGATCCGGGGCGGCTCCAGCACCCTAGCCCTGGAGATCGGATCGACCAATAGGAGCGCCACCGCAGGCGTCGAGACCGCCCCAGTGACTGCTCGGGGGGCTGTCCAGCTTTAAGCCTTACAAAAGACCCCTGCCCTGCCAGACATGAGCAGGGACCGACCGTCCTGGTATTTCTGTAGGCCTGCCACGAAGTGTTCTCAGACCCCCGAAAATGTTCTAAAAACCAAAACACTGTTCTTAGAACATAAACCCGATGTGTTAAGAAAGACAGACTCAGCCAGAAACATTCGAAGCACATTTCGTGCACCCCCAAAAAATAGTCTGAAAACATTATTTGGTGGGCCTGTAGGCGAGCCAACACGCTTCGCCACTGCTTTTCTGGCCCCTCTTATCCGTGCTTACTCGAGGGACAAAACCTGGCGTACTCAAAACTTGCGGAGGTCCGCGCGGAGCTCTTGCATCGGCGCTGGGCCCCCGCCCTTCGTGGCGCGCAGAGCGCGCCAGGGGCGGCGCCCGAGGCGCGGCCAGGGGGGTGGGCCAGCACCGAACCAGGAAGTCCGCGCGGACGTTCGGAAATTCTCCCAACAATGCTTGCACCCAGGGGTCCCTGCTCGTCTTCCCCAAAAAAAACTGGAACCCCGGTGGCGGTCTGGCCGGCTCGTCGCCACCCCTCGCCGCCCCTCGCCGCTGGGCCCCGGCGGCGGTCCGGCCGCCTCGTCGCCGTGTTGCTTTGCATGGCTTGGTATCGCTGTGCATCTCTTTGCATTGCTTTGCATGTTCTTGCATTGCTGCGCATTGCTGCGAATCGCTTTGCATCGCCTTGCGTCCAAATACAATAATGTGCATTGCCGTGATATTGCAATGCATTGCTTTGCCTTGCTTGGCAGTTACTTTCATGGTTGTGCGTTGCGTTGCATTGCTTTTGCATTGCGTTTGCATTGGTTTTGCATTGCGTTTGCATTGCTTTGCGCTGACTTTAATAGTTGCGTTGATGTGCATTGGCTTTGCATGACGTTTGCATTGCTGTTGCGTTGCTGTTGCGTTGCGTTGCAAAGTTGTTCAGTGGCTGTGCGTTACGTTTGCAAAACACTTACATTGCTGATACATTGCTTTGCATTGTGTTGCATTGTCTTTGCATTGCTGTTGCACTGTTTCTCTTACATTGATGCACTTTGATTTGCATTGCTTTGATCTGCATCGCATTGCATTGCCTTGCGCCACATAGATTGCGCCGCATGGGTTGCACCACCTAGGTTGCACCACTTCGATTGCACCACCGTTATTGCGCCGCATACGGCGTACAAAGACGCTGTGTGGGGTCCGCGCTGCCAGAAATGTGATAGTTCTCGAATTGCTAATTTTGTTTCTCAATTTGCAGCAGCCGAAGTGCAAAATGAAGCCAGGACGAAGATACATCTGGGTGAGGATAAATCGAGAATCTGTGAGATCCCGCGGCTCTTGAAAATGTCTCGGGCGCCGCGGCCTTCTGAGAACGTTCCGGAACGTCCTGAGAGCGTTCTGGAACGCTCTGGAACGGATTGATCCTCGTCCTAGTCCGGTCCGACCGTGGCAAAAAAGCGCGGGGTCCTGCCGGAACCCGACAGGCGCAAGGCCTTCGCAAGCCAGGCCTGGAAGTACCCCGGCCGGCAGTCGCAGCTGCAGCCCGGCTGCCGCAGCATGCTCGCGCCACAGGTCGGGACCTCGTGAGGTTTCGGGCGGCAGCAGGAGCGATCGGAAGACCAATGCCACGGTGGGGATCCATGATCGGGGCGTTCATGACGATCGGGCGGTACTGTACTCTACGACGCTCCAAGGCGGCCCAAGAGGCCCCCAAGACCACCCCAAAACGACCCAAGAGGCCTCCAAGAGGGCTCCAAGACGGCCTCAGAGCGCCCCAAGACAGCCCAAGACGGCCCAAGAGGGCCCCAAGACGGCCCCGAAAGGAGCCCCAGAGAGGGAAGACGAACCGGAAATCCTAGCCTTCCGCCCAAAGGGGCCCCCCCAGGAGGCCCCAAGAGGCGCCCGAAAGGCCAAAAGAGGCCCCCAAGAGGCCCCCAAGAGGCTCCCAAGAGGCCCTTAAATAACCCCCAGGAGGCTTCGAAACTGCCTCCGATAGGCCCCCGAGAGGCCTCCCACAAGATTCCAACGAGCATCCATTAGGCTTATCACCCACAGCCCAGGCACGGTGGCGGGACTGGCCGTAGGCAGCTGGATACAGCTGGATTGCCAAATGAGGAACGGATGGGGCTTTTCTGGCCACGGCGAGCGTCGGCCATGAAGAGATTCCTCGACCTTGTGCTGAGGAACGCCCGGAAAGCCCTAGCCCCTCATGGGCCAGAGAGGGTCCTCATTTCAGCGTCTTGACTACAGTCGGAGTGGATTCGGCGCCTCCACATTGGGCGGTAAGGGGGGGGAGGGGGGGTCTGGCTCCAGACCCCAGCTCAGTGCGACTGTTTGCAAGAGTGCTATCTCCGGGGGAGACTCCACCCGCCCGACACAGGCGCCCCCAACCAGCCAAGATCTACTCTAGGGGGGGAGGGGGGGGGGTTGGGGGGCCCGAGCCGATCGGCAAAACGATGGATAAGAAAGCGATCACCAAGGGTGCCATTGCTTGGGCAGGGTCGCCCTGCTAATCTTAGGTCGGGCATGTCCCCTAAAGGGGGACTTTGGGCGAAAACTACAAATACCCCAGAAATACTCCCAGAATGCCAACAAAACCATCAAAGAAACGTCCCCGTACTATTTTTTTTTTATTTTTGAATATCCCTCCTGTAGAGGGACGCGCCCGACTTAATACTTATCAAGCTCGACTGCATGCAGATGCGCGCGCGGCCAAGACGCGGCCGAGCTCTGGGCCGCTCCCTCTCTCGAGCGGCAGCAGCCCGGCCGCCCGAACCCCGAGCTCGGATGGGGCCCCCGACGGCTCAAACCTACGCCAGGCGCTGGGCCCACGAGGCCCCCAGCAAGGCTCAAGGCGCCGCAAGGAGGCTCCCAAGCGGCCTCACAAATGCTTCAAGAGACCCCCGAGAGCCCTCCGAAAAGACCCCAAGAAGCATCCATGAAGACTCTGACCCACTACCCAGGCTCAGTGGCAGGATGGGCCGCCCCCAAGAGGCTCCCAAGAAAGAGGCTCCCAAGAAAGAGGCTCCTATGCGGCCTCTCAACTGCTTCCAGAGGCCCCCGAGCGCCATCCGAAGAGGCCCCAAGACAGTCCACCAGCGAGACTCTCGAGGACTGCGGCTCGGCGTGACCGCTTGCGCTACGCTTTGGACGCCCGAACTGGGTACGGACAAAAATGGGCAGCACTGCCCAACAGCAAATGTTTTTCCAAACCAACAGCGGTCGCTGTTGGGCAGGCGGCCTTCTGTCTCAAGTGGACACAGGCCGCGGCGGCACGGACAGCGAGTCCAGTTCAAAATGAAAAGGAACTGGTTCGTGCAGATACGCGAGGGAGTGTCCCATTGGCAGGAGCGCGGTGGAGCAGAGATACGGAGACAGCGGCGCCACTGTGAAGGTGCGCCACGAGCGTGGCAACGCGCGCGCAACATGGAGCGGATTCGCGTGGGCGGGACCCCCATCAGCTCGACAATGGAAATCACAGAACGCGGAATAATGTTGGCCAGTATGATCGGCAGCGCAGGTTGATGATATGTGCACGTGCGGGCTGCCTCCTCATGAGTTCCCTTCTCCTCCTGCTACCTGAATGGGTAGACTACGAGATAGCAGGAACACTACGCAGAAGCCAGAAGGGAGGAAGGGCGAGGGAAAGCCGAAGCAGGATAGCACATTCCTAGTTTACACGGGCACGCGCACACACATCATGTCCTCCAGCGGCAAGGTGGCGGCTCCGTCGCGAGTACTAAGGCGGGACACGCTACAAAAAAACAGCGCGCACACACACTCACACACACACAAACACACATCGACCGCGAGCACCTGCAAACACCCGAGGCAGAAGAGCACCCATCGGCGCCGCCCCAACACAACCGAGCGAGAAGGAGGAGGAGGAGGTGGAGGAGGCTTCTGCTGGAAGCAGCAGGCAGGGCAGGCATCTGGAAACAAGGGGTTACCAGCCTGGAGCAATGGGCCAGTGCAGCAAGACCGGCCACCGCGATCGGGGCTAGGACTGCGATAGGAGGCGGACGAAGGGAAGGCGGCCGACCGATCCACGAAAGGAACCACAACGGGCACCGAGACGGGTCCTTGGGGAAACCGAGAAGTACCGATACGATTACTCCCCGGACCTCTCCCGGGGTGCGTTCTGACCAAGAGTTCGAGGCGAATCCAGCGGCGGCGGCGAGGGCCTCCCAGGAGGCCCAAAAAGGGGAAAACGGCACAACTGGCAGAGGTATGAGTACCTTTCCCTCCTCTGAGTCCTGGACCCCGGGACCCTCCCAAAGCACCAAATGTTCACCCCGAATCGTTCTCCGACAGTCCCGGGGCCCGTGGAGGGCTTCCCGCGAGCCCGAGAACGAACGAACGAACGAACGAACGCCACTACAGCGAGAGCTGTCCCAACTACGGGGATGGGCGTGTAGCGCTCGAAATCTTCTCCGTTGTCTTGTCCTGAGTGTTGTCCGCCGCTCGCGAGCCCGAGAGCGGCGGACAACACTCGGGACCCGTCTCCTTCACGGCGAGGGACCCAGCAGGCGCCGCTAGGCGCCGAGCGCACATGCCGGGCCGCGCGCCGCACTCCTCGTAGCCCTCCTGGCATGCCGACTGGTCGGTGACGGCCTCGGCCCCCCCCACACTCAGCACAGGAGGGAGGCCCCTATAGGACTCGATGGGGAAAAGGAGCCCTGGTTAGGAGGCAACTGCTGGGAGGGTCTTCGTCGGAAGGATCTAGCCGTAGATTCAGCAAGACTGCGCCGGATTGGACGGGATTATGCTTGATGAAACGGGACTGGCCAGACTAAGCGGGATCCAGCCGGATTGTGGACCAGGGTGAAGTCCGAATTTGACCTCCCAAGCGTTGCATCCGTAGGCTGGAGGGCGGAGGCAGGAGGGTGGAGGCAGGCAGAGGGTGGTCAGGGGTGGTAGCGCATGCCGCTTCGGGCGCTCTCGCCAGACGTCCTGCCTGCCCGCAGCCCGGACACACGAGCGCCTTATGCACCCCGCCCTGGTTGGTGGTGGTTTTGCGCTTCCTGCTTCCACTGGCTCGGGGCCGATCACTCTTTCCATCGGCAGGGAGAGAACGGGAGGAGAAGGAGGAGGAGGAGGAGGAGGAGGAGGAGGGGGAGGAGGAGGAGGAGGAGGAGGACGAGGAGGAGGAGGAACAAAAAGGAGGAGGAGGAGGAGGAGGAGGAGGAGGGACGAGGAGGAGAAGCCGCGGCGCCAGGTGGAGCAAAGCCTGCTAGGGCCCAGGAGCCGGGAGCCCTTCGCCGCCCCCCCCCGCACGCCTGGTGAATGCCCTGCCTGGGCGGGGGGGACGGATCGCCTCTGGCCAACTCAGGCCCTGGGGCTAGGTCGGGCCTGGTCCCCTACAGTAGGAAGTTGGGCGACACATTAAACATACTCAAGACATACTCCCCACATGCACAACAACAACAGTCAAAGAATCGTCTCGACATTGTATTTGTTTTGCAATGTTTGAACATTCCTCCTGTAGATGGCCTCTGCCCAAGTCAGGCCCTGGGGCCCCCAAGAGCCTGCGCTTGGCTCAGCAGGTCTCCCTCCTCGGTCAGGGGCGGGCGCCCAGGCGGCGACGAGGGGCAACAGATCCGGGGGCCGAGTGGAGCACCAGCACCGTGGAGCAGACCCCTGGCTTCCCTCGCGGGTTGGAGCGGCGCGGCACACTTGACCTGGGCAGTAGCGGGGCGGTGCCTCAGTGCGACACCGAGGCCTTCAATATCCTCGCTATGGCCAAGGGAATTGGGCATAGCAAAACAGGGGGCATGACTCTCGACGACCCCGCTCCTAATGCCTCCGACTACAGCGAGCTGGGCCCAAGCCTTCGATCGCGCTCCAAGCAGGTCCCTGAGGATCTCCTCCGCTCCGCCTCACTTGTTGCTGTCCCCGTTCCTCCATGTGGAGCCCCAGATCCCTGCGCGGTTTCCTGGCGCGGTGGATCCACCCGCGGGACTCACGGGCTGTGGAGTAAGTCGGATGTCCAAGTAAGTCCCGTGCTGTTCCCCGTCGTCTCTCCCACTGGTTCATGCGGGCCGATCGAGACGACGACGGCGCTCCCGGGAAGCCCTCCGCGAGGCTCGGCTGCCAGAGCACCCTGTCCCGAGGCCAAGCCGCCCCCTCCAGAAAGGAGAAGAACGGGGCCGCGGATCCCGCACGATACTGTCAAAACCCTAATAAGGACGCGCGGTAAGGACGCAAGGCCCTTGGAAGCCGAAGTTGGGATTTTTGGGGCGGCGGACGACGAACACCCCAAGACAAAACCAAGGAAGGACGGAGGCGCAAGCAATGAAAAGCAAGGACGCAAGGGTACCCTGAGCAAAGTCGCGCGTCCTTACTAGGGTTTTTCAGTGTAGGAAGGTCAGTCAACGCTCTGGCCGCCATCGGGAGAGCAAGGGAACTGCATGCACATAGACTGTCGGAGGCCCGCGCAAATGCTGTGGGGCAGGCGCATGACCCCCGCAGCATGGGGCGGCGCCAGAGGCGCCGCCACACGCGAGCCGCGAGCCCCGCGCCCCCCCAAGAAATCCGCGCGGACCTCCGCAGGGTCATGCTCATGCAGGTTTTCTTCAGTAGGAGGAGGAGGAGGAGGAGGAGGAGGAGGAGGAGGAGGAGGAGGAGGAGGAGGAGAACGAGGAGGAGGAGGATCGGGCCTGGTCGTGGGGGGGGGGTTCTAGGACGCTTCTCCTCTTCTTACAGAACGGCTCTTCCCCCGGTGTTCTCGAGGGGCAAAGATAGGGGGGGGACTGGCATACGGGGGGATGCATCGACCTGGAATCGGCGATACATCGCCCATAGATCGGCGAATTGCCTCCGATAGTGAATCCGCACCTTCCTGGGCAGGCTGGGGCTATCGGGCCCCTATCGGCGATCAATGGGCGATTGGGGGTCGATGCACCCCCCTAATTGGCCCCTAAGTATGTCTATCCCCCCTATCGCTAACCCGAGTGAGAGGGAAGGTTAAAGAACGCTCCTCCCCTTCTTATAGACACGGCTTCGTATGGTGCCAGTCTGTGCTCCTCGACATCACCTCTGGGGGTGGGTGGAGCCAAGAGGGGGGCGTCCAAGAGGGGGGGTGCAAATCATGGCCGGCGGCATGTGCGCGGCCCAGGGCGGGGGCCAGGGACGTAATGAACTAAGCAGAGGGGCCAGGAAATGAAGGGAAATATCAAGGCCCTCGCAATGGGGCGGCATCGACGTCGCGACTTTCTTGCACAGCGTGGGCCCACGAAAACCACCTCGACCTTGCGAGCCATGAGTTCCGACGTTGCGAGCGAGCAAAAAACAAAAAAAACATCGCGAAGAGTTACGGCTGGAGCCGTCGACCCCATCTTCCTGCTTCGTTTTTGATCGAGCTGGATCGGTCTGTGTGAAGGCCCCCGGGCCCGAAGCGGGGCAACACCGCCCGTTGTGCAAACATGTGACTCGGGCGTTCACAGATGGGATGGGGGGGCCAGAAACGGTCCCCGGTCATGTGAAGGGGCCTTGGGCCACACAAATAAATACACACAAATAAAAGGAGTCCCCATATTTTCCCATATTTTCAAAAAGTTTCTGTCTTGTCCCCCACACCTCCCATATTTTCCCATATTTTCTGGGGAACCGACGATTAATTGTGTCTGTGTGTTTTTTCCCCTCCTGATCATACCCCTTTCGGGCACCTGCGGGGCCCTAAGGGGCTCCTTTAGGGCCCCTTTAGGACCCGTTTCGTGCAACCCTCGACGCCCCACCCCCGTTTGTCGCACCCCCACTGCCGAACGCCCCAGCGACGTGGGGGGCCTGGGGCCCCCGGCACCTGCGCAAGGCTTGGGCGGGGTGGGGCACCCGCGCCAAAGCCTGCGAGCACCGGCAGGGCGCCTGCAAGCGCCAAGCGCTCGTCACTGACACCCCTGGGGGGGGGGGCGGGAGACGACCGCTGCACGTCGGTCGGAAGCAGTAGGCCAGCGGATAAACTTGCTGGGCACGTTTTCCACCACCACCACCATAAATTGGAGGGGGGAAGGAGGTGGAAAACGAGGAGGAGGAGGAGGACGGAGACGAGGACGAGGACGAGGAGGAGAAGGAGGAGGAGGACCCCCTCCCCCTCCAACTTATGGTGGTGTTGGTGGTGGAAAACAAGCCCGTAATCACAACACACCGCACAAGCTCATCGATTCTTGTAGCAGGAGGGCGCCTGAGGTAGCTTGGGACCTGGATCTCCCAAAAATGCCCACTGTCAACGACGGGCGTGTACCCCAGGGGGAGGCACTTGGCCCGGGATCCGACCGCTGTGCGCGCTGGCCGCGGGGCGCCGAGCGCGCGCAGTCGGGGATCTTCTGATCCGGGTCAATCCAAGCCCGGGTCAGTCAGGCCTAGCAGAATCCTGCAAGATCTAGCAAAATCCTGCACCCACACCCGAGTCAATGCGCAGGATCCTGCGGGATCCTGCATCCAGACCCGGGTCAATGCGACCCTGGCACAGCAGGATCCTGCCCCCGAAGCCGGGTCAGTGCGACCCTGGCCCCGCAGGATCCTGCAAGCTCGGGCGCTCTGGCTGACCCTCGTTTGCGTTGACCCCCGCCTCTTGAGCCCCGAGCAGGTAGCGCCCCGCCGCCGCCGCCGCCACCGCCGCCGCCCCCGCCCCCGCCCCCGCCGTCGTCCTCGTCGTCGTCGTCGTCGTCGCAGTCCTCGTCGTCGTCGTCGCAGTCGTCGTCGTCGTCGCAGTCCTCGTCGTCGTCGTCGCAGTCGTTGTCGTCGTCGTCGTCGTCGTCGTCGTCGTCGTCGTCGTCGACGTCGTCGCCGTCGTCGTCGTCGTCGTCGCCGCAGCCGCCGCCCGGCGGCCGCGCCGCGGCCGAGCCCGCGGCGTAGGGCGGCGTGAGGCGCACGGCCGGCAGGCAGGTGGAGCCCTCGAGGCGCTCGGCGGGGACGCCGCACACGGTGCGGCGGCGGAGCTGCGTGAGCCTCGCGGCCCGGGGCGGGGGGAGGCGGGGGGGCCGACAGCGCCCCGGAGGGGGCGGGGGCGGGGTGGTGCCCCGGAGGGGGGCGGGGGGCTCCCTGCTCCCCCGTCCCGCTCTGAACCGCCCTCCCCGCGTTTCGTTTGCTCTCTCTCTCTCTCTCTCTCTCTCCCTCTCGCTCTCTCTCTCTCTCTCTCTCTCTCTCTCTCTCTATATATAAAGATATATCCCTCTCGCTCTCGCCCTCTCCCTCTCTCTCGTGATTTCTCTGTCTCTCTCTCTATCCCTCCTTCTATACTTTCTCTCTCTCTCTCTCTTTCTCCCTCCCTCCTTCTCTCTCTCTCTCTCTCTCTCTCCCTCCCTCCCTCTCTCTCTCTCTCTCTCTCTCCCTCTTTCCCATCCCAGGGGGCGGCCTGGGCCCTCCCGCCTCCCCGGCCTCCTTGCACGGGCGGGACGCCGCCGCCCGCCGCCCGGCAGCCGCCGAGCAGCGGGCAGGTGCAGAGGTCTCCCCCGCCGTGCCCGCCTGGCCCTCGGCCAGAGGGCGCCCGCCAGGTGGGCCCCCGCCTGGCCCTCGGCCACGGCCAGGGGCCCCCGTGGGTACTCCATTGAATGTGTTTGTTTGTCCGACTCGCGCTGACCGAGCGTGACGCAGCAGGAAGCCGCGCCTCATGGGTCCATCCTCAACCCCTGTCGATGGCCCGCCGCGCTCGAAGAAACTTCAACACGGGCGTTCAGGGGGCTCGCATCCTTACCGCGCATCCTTACTATCAGTTTCGACCATCGACAGAGGCTAAGGATGGCCTCAGATGCCAGGGTACCCTTCGGAAGGTTACCCATCCTTACTATGGGTTTCGATTGTACAATCGGTTTCGGCTGTACTCCTATTCGCCCCCATCCTCGCCTTTATTCATGCATTCTCGGTCCGTGCGGCGGCGTTGCGTCAGCCTGCGGCTGGGCGGCAGGGCACGGCGGAGGCTCGAGGAGGTCGGGGTTTCTGCTTACCCTTCCCGCTCCCAAACCCACTCCCGTCGTCTCCCTCAGACTGCGCGTCATTTCCATCCTCGTCTTCAGCCTCGCTCCAGCATCCCTGCTGCGTCGAAGACACGAGATGATGCGCTCGCGGACGCTTGGGATGTATGATAATCCTTTTTTTTTCGGAACCCCAAATATTGACTGACTTCATTGAGTGTTTGCTGCCCGAGAAAAACAAGGGCTCCCAACTTCGCGCTTCGCGCTGCGCGAAGCGCGAAGTGCGAATAACTTCGCGCATTCGCGCCGCCTCCCAGGGTAGAAGAGGAGGATGAGGAGGAATCGGAGCCGAAGCGCGAATAACTTCGCGCCCTCGAGGGCGCCCTTGGAAAAAAACCCTGCATTGATCGAGGAACGCCTGCACAACAACGTTCGTTAGCAGGAGCGACCTCCAGTACATTACAGCACCCCGGGACTCTGGGCAGCAGGCTTCCGAAGGGATTTTTGAACATGTCGCTGTCGCTGTCGGCGACGTGGCTCTTGCACGTGCACGCTTTGAGCACGGCTGCCGCGCACCCACCGATAAAAACAACACAGGCCCCTCATCCCGCGAAGCGAATCACAGCCGCGCCTGAAGCAGGCGGGGCATGCTGGCGAAATCGCCTTGCGACGACGCGCACTGTTCCTCCGACGCGCCACAGGGCTGCAGTCAGCGGTGAAAAAGTTCAGCAGGGACATTGACCCACCTCTTGGGCTACGTGAAAACAACGTGAACACAACAATGGTTCTCAGAGTGTCCTACGTAGCCGACCGCTGAACTGTAAGATGGAGGTGGCGCAAGGACAGAGCAAGGACACCACAAAGGCAGAAACACTAACACACACACACACACACACCCAGACTCACCCCAACACACGTCTGCAAGCCTACAAAAGGTATCAGACCCGTACATCACATTACAACGTGCGCAATCAATACAGACAGCGCAGAAGCGGTGGACACCCATCACTCAGGTTGAGAACGGATTGGAAATGCGTGGGCGTCTACTGTCTAGGCACTCCCAACACATTCATTGTGGGCCATGCGCTTGGACCAGCTTGTGGCCCCTCAAATTAGGAAAGCTCCGGAGACGAGTGCTGGGGAGGCAGAGAGAGACAGAGAGGGGTGCAGAAAAAGAGAGAGAGAGAGAGAGAGCAACAACAACAAAAACAGAGAAAGGAGCTGACGAGGTGGGCAGAGAACAGGCGAGGACACAAGGCGATGCGCGCGAGCACTGGAGAAGCGCCACAGGGGAGATCGCAGAAAAGGGAGAGATAAGGAGGGGGAACAGGCAGACGCAAGCACAGCGGAGCGCCGCCGACATCCCCGGGGCCAGGCATGGCATCGGCCCAACGCTGGCCGCGCCAACTCAGCCTCGGCCCCCCGCATGGAGGACAGGGACGAGAGACGACCGAGCCGATGGGCGCGGGCCTCGCCCCCTGCGTCAGGCCGTCGAGCGCGATGCTGCTCACGCGGACCTCGTCCACCAGCGCGTCGAAGAACGCCTCGCCGGCAGGCATGGCGAAGTAGGGCTCCGTGCGGCCCTCCCCTGGCCCCCCGCGATGCTGCAGCGCCAGGCACCGCGCCACGCTCAAAACCCTCGCACGCGGGCTCGTCAGCCCTGCCTTCTGCGCGCGTGCCGGGCTGACCACCACCCGCTAGCAGAACACGCCACGACTGGACAGAACAACCATCTCCTTGGCGCCTCGTCTTCCTATCGTCTGTGTGCCTGGCGGTACTGTGGAGGTGGTGGGGGCTCGCCCTTTTCATCACCAGGCGGTTGCACGGGAAAAAAACACTGCCAAAAAACTTTGAAACCGATTTGCGTAAGCGGGCATGGGCCGTGGCGGAGCCACTTCGCATCGCAGGAGCTGCTTCTGCATCTGAGGACCGCACCCACCACCAATAACTTGTCATCAGACTCGTCCAGGGCGCGGCACGATCCCCCCCTCCAGCGGCCACCTGCTCGAATGTGCATGCACCATTCGGAATTCGGAGAGCAGCGCTCCTGCGCCGCCCATCCTTGCTGGCGAACTCTATTTCGCCCAGATCCCAGCACAGAGAGGCAGATGGAGCCTTTCCTTATCCCTCGACTTGTCTCAGGCCGCCATGTAACAAGAGGCTGCTCACGAGACCACCTCTGGCTTATGTGCCGTGAATCGGATGTTTCGACATGTAGCTCAAGGGACCCGATTTGGCCATGTGCATTCTGCGTCGACTACTTGGCTATCACATGATGAAACTTGTTTGCCTGACCAAATAGAACACCTATGTGTAGACTATAGAAAGATATACGTGTATACACATATAGATACACTTAAATGTGTATATGTCTGTGTGTACGTTCTCCTCTGTCTGGATAAACCCTCTCTGGCCAACCTGTCCCATCGCCACAGTCATTTCCACCCCGAAGTCCTCCTCGAGAATTTCAGGAAACATGTTCGCGTCCATGTTCGGAGGTCCAACGTGGAAGACGCCGTCCTGGTCCGAGTGCACCGCGGGCAGCGACTGCACCGAGGCGGAGGCAGACCTCCCCAGGGCCGGCCCCTCTGGAGAGCGGGTATGGCGAGGGACGGCCTGAACCGTGCAAAGACAGGCAGAGTGAGCATCGAACCTCCAGGTACAAGCACAGCTGTGGGATTGACGCGGACTACTTGGCCTTACAAGTTTTCACAAAGAGGGAGCTGCTCTACAGTGGCATATCTGTCCAAACCTCTTTGATGGCCCTGCCAGCCATGGACCGCGCCCTATCTCTCTAACATCCTTGGACGAACCTTGGACGAGCTCCGTCCGCCCCACCCCCTTGGACAACAATTTCTAGACCCGTCTCGGCTCCCCGGTCTGCCGCGTCTAGTATGCCAAGCCATAGCTGTCTGACCCATGCGCAACACTACCGAAATCCAACTAGCCCCCCAACACTGCCAAAGCGGGCAGTGCAATCTCGGTCCATCAGAAATAACAACACACCTCGGCTTCAAAATGGTGCGTGTATACGGCCTCGGGAACCGCGAAGAGATGAAGAAGGGGAAGGAAGAGGAAGACGATGAGTAGAACGAGGAGGCGAGAGGAGGAGGAGGCGGAGGAAGAGGAGGAGGCAGGACGAGAAGGAGGAAGGCGGGAAGGACTGGCGACCACAGAGCTCTATTCAACGTGAGAACCCAACACTGGAGAATTTGGAATATTGCAGGATGCAATGCAGAAGACTGGATTTAGGCAACAGGAGGTCGGAGACCACAATGCTCAACTCCAGATTTCGTAATAAAGGGAGGGGGGGTCTCATTTCGGGGGGGGTCTCTTCCAGGCTATCTTGGAGGGCCTGGGGGGGTCTGGGACGATGTTTTGGAGGGTTCTCCCACGGGGGGGGGGTCTGAAATGGCTTGTCTTGGAGGGTCCAGACCCCCTCCCTTTTATTACGAAATCTGGGGTACTCAAAATGAGAACCAGCACAGACGACAGACGGCTTGGGAACACACATACTCATACTGACGACAAGGTGACCCAGGTACAGCCGGCCCCCACGCACCACACAACAATCACATCTATGTGACAATGGGCATTGATTACGTCATATGTTCCACCGAAGACCGTTTCGCAGAAGATATGAGCTCTCCATCCGCGTAGAAGAACACATTCGGAGAGGTGGCCGAGGAGCTCGTGACCACGACGGCGATGTGCTTCCATGTCTGGGTCCAAGATATTGGCTCGGAGAAGACGATGCTGTCCTCAATATCTCTCTATATGCATTCCGTCTCCGCTGCTCCCAACGAGAACACATTTTTCGTCAACAACTTTGGTAGTGAAGGCAAGCTCCACCACAGCAGCCCTGTGCTTCGCTGAAAGAACGGGAGCACACTCGACCTGCTCCCACAACAATTTCGATATTATTCAAGACCGCGCTTTAGAAGCCACGCTGACACTGCGGACGTTGCGGCTGGGGTGCTGGTGTTTTTTGTGCAAAAGCAACCTGCTGGAATGTTGTTTATGATAGCTGCGGCTGGCATTTAGCGGTGCTGCTGCGACGCATAACAATTGACCCAAACACAATACTGCGAATGGAAGGTACGACGGCGAGCGAGCACGGCAACTGCGAATGACAGCTACGCTCCTGCAGGCGGCCACGGCATGCTGCGAGGCGAAGCAGAACAACGATTGTGCACACGTTTCAGACGTATGCCAGCGCTCCCACGATCCCCTACCCATTCCCAATCTCACGTCATCAAACCCTGCACCAGAGATGATCAATGTACCCACTCGGAACGGGTGGGATGCTCAAGAAACGTTGAGTGAATATGGTTGGCGCGCACATCACAGCCCGTGAAGCCATCCGCGGAGCTGGTTGGCCAAGCCGTTTGAACTACTGATGCCTGGCAACCCGTTGCGCAAGAAGGCGAATGCCACACACACACACACACACACGCCACACTGATGAACGCGAACAGTGGAAGTGCGGATGCAATCAATCCTCGCGGCTGCTGCTCGAGCGCGTGATGTCCGCGTGGTAGAAGCCCACACTCACCTACGATAAAAAGTAGCACGGCGCATGTCCCTACACAAAGCAGACCCGCGACCAGGCCCCCTGCCTCATCAGAAATGTGACTGGCTCGAGCAACTTCGATCTGCTTGTATCGAGGGTCCACAGCACACGTGGTCCCCAAAAAGAAGTGGGACAACGCGAGCTCAACTTTAACTTAGCGTGTCTCCATCTGGGGCTGGGGAGCGTGTCGCGATCAGATCTCTCCATGACCCTGGAGCCTAGAATTCAAAGAAATGCGGTGGCTACGGACTGCCCTGTGACGAAGAGATGGGTCACCGATACAGGCTGAACAACATGGGGACCCTAACTATCCAGCTCGGCGATCCAGTCATGTCCCGAGAAAACCCCACTAGCCCAATAACCTCAGCACGGTCCAGAAGTTTGTTGAACGCCTCAGAACACAATAATATCTAGTGACCGTCACTGGCATGCGGATGAAACAACTGACGGTCGTGCTCAGGATCCTCCCGTTTCTCTCTCTATCTCTCTCATTATCTCTCTCATTATCTCTCTCTCTCTTTCTTCCTATTGTTTTTTTTTTTTCTCTCTCTCTCTCTCTCTCTTTCTCTCTCCCCCCTCTGTATATCAGCCACCGTGCGCTTGGGCACGGAGTGGGCGTATCCTCAGGCCCTTCTCCTAACCCTCGGAGCCTCACTCATCGCTCCTGAAGGTTATGTAAAGGGCCCGGGCCCCGATCTCCTGGGGCTTCTCGCATGCCCCCAGGGGTTCCCTGCACCTTCTGGCATAACCTGTTCAGGCCCAAGAGGGCCCAGGACGGGCCAAGAGGGCACCACCAGGCCCCAAAGACAATCCGAGAAGGCGCCTAGACGCCGAACGATCGCCCCAAGACGCCCGAGATGGCCCCCAAATGGCCCAAGAGGCCATCAAGACGCCCCACGATGCCTCCAAGAAGCTTACGAAGAGGGCCCCGAGAAGCCCAAACCATTGACTGTGTGAAGCATGGTAGTGTCCGCACCTTTTGTTGTTTCCGACGCTCCAAAACGGCCCAAGGTGCCCCCAAGACCGCCCAAGAGGCCTCTGAGAGGGCCCCAAGACGGCCTGAGAGCGCCCCAAGACGGCCCAAGATAGCCCAAGAGGCGCCCAAGACGGCCCAAGAGGGCCCCAAGACTGGCCCAACAGGGGCTCAAAAGAGGGAGCACGAACCGAAAATCCCAGTCGCCCGCACCAACAGGCGCCCAGGAGGTCCCAAGAGGCCCCCAAGAGGCCCCAAGAGGCCCCAAAAGAAATTCAACGAGGCCCCACGATGCCCCCAGACGGCCCCCAAGAGACCTATAAACTGGTCCCAAAAGCCCTCCGAGAGGCCTTCCAGGAGATCCCAACGAGCATCCAATAGGCTGCACACCCACAAGCCAGGCACGGTGGCGGGATGGGCCGAATGCCATATTCGACAACACATATAGTTATACAGTTGGCACGTGAGTGCCCAGGCATACAACAAGCGACGGGGAAGTACTGATGGGATTGCCGCAGCTTGCGATTAGACGGCATAATTAGAAATGCCATGGACATGCATAATCGAAACTAAGCTGAGAACGTCGAGAAGGACGGCTTCAGCATTCATCGCCTGTAAGATCTACTCCCTAGGAGAGGTGCTAATGAGCAAGCGAATATCTCTCCACCTCCTTCCCTTTCCTCTTCCGGACGTAAAGAGGACCGCCCCCTTGGCAACCCTTGGCACCATGCTCCACGAAGCTCGGCTGAGTGCCAAATACCATCTTGGGAACATCCCCACGATCACAGCCAAGCTGGGCACGTCGGCGCTGGAATGTGGAATCGCGTCCACCGCGACGTTGACCCAGAACTCTACTGTAAACGGAGGCGTCAACAGCTGCATGAAAGGCCCAGCCACTAGAGGAAACGCCAGGGTCATCGTGCAGCCATCTGCGCTTCCGAGCCCAGGCGAAACGAATCGTGCAAGCGCTCGAGAGAGCGACGGGTCCACATTGCCAGGCAAAGCGCACGACTCCAGCGTGTTGTTGCAAACGGGAGAGAAGAACCCGTCCACAGCACTCTTGCACTCACCTCCTTCAGGATGCTCATCAACCTTTATGCAGACGAATGGGCATGAACTGTTGGGCCACCCCTCTGCATACCATAATACACTGCTTGGTGGAGATGGCGTGGGGCATGGAAGTGTAGTACTCCCATCCGTTGTGTATGACCCTCTGCTAGCAGGATCGCAACCTGTGACTCTATAGCAGCCGGCTACAAGACATGGATCTCCATTCATGTAGGCGGTTATATCAAATCCACGATGGCTTACGCCACTAGGTATGCAAAATGCTGTCTCCAACACAGTCCGAAAATGCGACAACTTGACCCCAATATTGAAAGAACCTGAACACTGGATATCACGACACCCAGAAGGCTGAGGATTTCACACTGCCGATGCTCCTCAACGCAGTATGGGGGAAACTGGCCCGGGCCACTAATCTTCTGCCAGTCGTCCTAGGAGTGCTTGTTGCACCGATGCGCAACCACCGACTTCGCATAAAGCCATGTACACACATCGATAACGATGGCACTATGTGTAAGTGTGTGGAAAAATGGCCGACGGTATCGGAGTATGTGGTGTGGGTCGCATGCATGTGCGGGCAGTACCTATATCCATATCCAGAGCGCCGTGCACTTTTTGGGAAGAGGTGCCGCAACGCCCAGGCGCACTGGATATGGATAAAATCAAACTTCTTGGGGCCAGATGTTTATCCATATCCAGTGCGTCTACGGTTTCTGGGAAGACAGCCCAAGAATCCAAGACGCACTGGATGTGGATATAACTATTGCCCGCAGCATGTGCGCATGTGGATGTTTTTTCGAGGTTTCGATACAGAGTGTCGAGCGTCATCTACAATTACATATTTCTAACGGGGTCAGGCTCTTCCCCTCTACCGAGGCCTGCGGCAACATGGAACGCTCAAATGGCACAATTGGAACGCGCAATTCATGAGTTTACACTTCTCGCAAACTGTTTGTGGATAATGCGAAGCACATCTCATGCGTCACACATGCTCCCCATGGCACCAGCTGCAGACCACGTTAACCACTGCTCCTGAGTACACGTATCTTGTTCTGGTCCGGACCCGCCCCTGTGAACGTTGCCGTCTGATATGCCGCGCAACTGCACGACCTTGTCTCCTGAAGCGAAAGCCGTGCTGTCGTCCACCAACCTATTGGAGAAGCTCGCGTACGGACTCATGTAGGCGATAGTCTGGAGGATCCAAGGTCACCGCGTCTGGTCCCAACGAACCTGCCCCCTGTGCTAGAAACCCGCCCTTTCTCCTGGGCGTGAAACGATTCCTCTGGAAGTCACCCCACTGAGTACACCACTGCGGTCATCTTCCACCTCCTTCTCCTCCAATTCTTCTGGTCCTCCTCCCTCCTCTCTTGCTCCTCGTCTCTCCCAAGACCTCCCTCACCTACCCACAGGGGATGACCAAACCTTCGTCTCCCGTCGCCAGGGCTGAGCATAGAAGGCTCTCTACTGCTCAAAGACGCAGATACATGAATGAAGAACACCCCGATTCCTGCAGCTGTCGGCCTTTCAGAGCCCCCAGGGCCCTCCGGCCGCCGCGTGGGTCATGAGACCCAGAGAATCAATCAGGGGGCACGTGCCGGATCGTACGCGGCGGCCTCGCGCCCTCCAGGCGATGCCGGTTGCGGCCGCGTAGGTGCGCCGCTGCTCGCCGCCGGTGGACAGAAAGGCCAGGTCGGCGCCCTCGGGGGTCGCCTGCCCGCTTCAACATGTGGCGTGCGAGCGCGAGTGCGAGCGCGCAGCGCGCCGCTGAGGGGGACCGAAGACGCAAGGGAAAGCGGAGATCTCACCAAGTGCTGCTCGGCTGGCTCTCTTGCCTGCTGCATGCACTCGGAACTACGGTAGATCTGCAGCGGCCACCGTGATTGTACTCTGAGAGGTTCCAAGTACACTTTGTCCCCGCCACGACTGCTTTCATTCTCAAAGCGATACAGAACGAGAGCGATCGAGACGATCATCACAGACGTAACATGTAAATCTAATCACACGGTTTGTGCCAGAGTGGACCCGAGCATTAAGTCGGCACACTGGGTTGAGGTAAAAATTATGTGGTGAAAGCCTTGCGGTACAAGATTGCGTGGTGAAGCTATGTGGACAAAAGCCGTTGCAACCTATGCGCCATGCAAAGCAATATATGCGGTGCAGTCAACGTGGCGCAATCTATGTGGTGACAGCTACCTGCCGTAAGCCATGTGGCGAGAACAATGTGGTGCAAGCTCCGCGGTGTGAGTTACGCTGTGTACGCCAAGCGGTATGACCTGTGGTGTGAGCGATGTTGTGCAAACTATGCCGCGCCAGCTATGCGGTGTGACCCGTGTTGTGCAGGCCATGAAAGGCTGCGTTGCCCACCTAGGGCACGGGGCGCCCGCGAGGCGCGCACGGGCGGACCCCCGGCGAAACGTCGGCGGAGCCACCCCAAAGCCCGGGGCGCCCAGGAGCGCCCACGGGCGGCAGTGTGGAACCATCCTCGGCGGACGCGTCCACTTACTTTCGCGACGTAGGTAAGAGCCCCGAAGTGTAAGCAAGGCAGCCCAGCATCTCACACGTGATTCGCAGCGCTTCGACTTGGCCCTTGGCCTGCCGCCCGGTGCCCCCCCCCCTCCTCGGTGTACGGGCTGACCTCGGCAACCACGTACGCCGTGGCGTTGAACAGGCGGCTACAGAAGTCCAGAGACAGCAGCTGCACCGCCGAGGTGCTATCCTCCCGCCCCTGCTTTCTGAGTTTGATCGCAAGGCCCCCATCGTTTCTCTCCTCGCCTCCCCTCCCCTTCCAGACCAATCTCTCGTGATCTCCCCTCTACCTCGCCCCCCCTCCTCTCCACTACCCCTCCCCCTTCATGCCATCTCGCACACCACTACAACACCTACCCTCTTCCTCCCCGGGCCATCCTGGCGCTTCCCTTTTCCATTCTCTGCTCCGTTACGTCCAGTGAGCACTCTCGCTCGTTCCTGCAGACGTTTCCCGCTCCGCATTCGAGCCGATCGCCATCCAGGCGCTTCGTTCAAATGCGCCCTATTCTTCCCCCTCTTTCCCTCCGGCTTCCTGATTACCCCAACTTCATGTCTTTCCCTCACCGTTTCAACCTTCTCCGCTCGTTCCCACCTGGACCTTCCTCTCCTTCTCACCCCTAGGCTTCCAAGAGCTGAACGGGATCCTGCGGAGAGGACGTTGCGCCTAGATTTGTATTATGTTGCTGCTGCTGGTGCTACAACTGTTGCTACTGTTGCTCTTTGTGAGTCAGGGTGACGGCTTCGCTGCAGGTTCATGCAAAGCGTACGGGCTAGTGTCTGTCAAATTGAGCACTCCTTACGCCTGTCCTCTCATCTCGTGTCTTCACCATCAACGATCTGGCTCTCCCTCGAAGACAGGTTGCTTCGGGAAGGTTGTAATGAGTTCTGGTCTCGCCAGAACGACATGCAGATACTGCTGAAAGTACCGCCGTCTTAAAGTCCATGGGGTTCACATCCTCCTGAGTCCCTGGACAGAAGAGATCATCGGTATAATTCCTTGGCGTGCTGGACCCCGCCGTTTCCTGGCCTGCAGCTTCCATACGCGAAAATTCAGACGGCCTGAAGTGGACAAGGGTAAAAGGCAAAGCCTAACTGCGAGCCTGAACGCAGCAAACAAGCCGTCCAAAAGCAGACTCTTCAACGTCAACGCATCGGGCTGCGCGGAAGGTTTCACGACACCTCTCTATTGCAAACATGGTCTGCGCTGCCCCCGCCCCAGTCCGCGGCAGACTGCACGGCCGCGGCTGCCGCCTCGACGCGCTCGGCGAAACACTGGGATTGCTGATCTGTTGCCTTGCTCCCTCCTCAGGGACTATATTCGGCGGTGGACAAACCTCCCCTCAACGAAAACGGCATAGGACCGAAACCGACGGACCTGGACCCGCAAAAGTGGCGCCGCGACGCCCTCTCGCGAACCGAAAAGGGCTAACTCCTTCATCGAGGTGTCAGGGTAGGAGGTCTACCAACGACCGATGTGCGCATGCCATGCAGGCGTGCAGCGCGGCGAGGCGTCCGGCGAGCACGACCCGAGAGGGGGGAGGGGAGGGAGCTGGGATCCGCGCAGGATCCCGGAGGCGAGCGGGGCTCTCGAGACCACCGCGGGGCCCGGCGCATGCGCATGGCACAACCTCTTCCAGGGTGCCGCCTGCCAGGTGCAGGGCGCCCTCATCGGTCTTCGACCGGCGAGCGCGGATCTCGGACCGAGGGGGAGGAAGAGGCGGCAGAACTCTCCCCCATCCGAGAAGGAGGCGGGGTGAGCCGAAAGGCTCTCCCTCCTCCGTCCCTCCCCTCCCCTCCCACTCGTCCTCCCCGCCGCTCCCGTCCTGTCCCTCGCCAAAGTGAAGATAGAAGGGTGGCCACAAGAGCAGAAATACCAACGTTTTGAGTTCCGCGCCCCTCTCAGGAGGGTGGGGGAGTGGGACGAGCAAGGTGGACCTGTGTCGTTGGGATGGACGGGATGCTACTGTGGGATGGGACGCAAAAAGCTACCAATACCGCCACTTGCCGGACCCATCCAGGGATGTGTTCAAACCAGAATCTCGAAGCGACTCCAGCCGTGGCGACGAAGGAAAGAGGTGGTGTAGCCGTATCGCCATAGCTTCCGATGTTGTGGGTGTCGGTGCTACTCCTCGAGAAGAGAGACATGGTGCAGGAGAGCGAATCCAGCCGTGGCGACGAGGAAAGTGGTGTAGCTGTACCGCCATAGCTTCCGATGTTGTGAATGTCGGTGCTGCTCCTCCAGGAGAGAGAGGCGGTGCAGGAGAGCGAGCGGAAAACAAAGTGCTCCTCCTGCACGGGCGCGGACGCCGCGGTGCCAACCGCCGGCAGCGGCAGCGCCGCACAGAGCCTCTGCAGCAGCGTGTAGGCGGCAGTCTGGAGGTCGGACAGGTCCTGCTGCACCCTCCAACAAAAATGCAAAACAGAACCCCCACGCAACTCCAGCATAACACCTGAAATACCCATAACAACGACACACATGAACGCACAACAAAAAAGATAAAGCATAGACAAACAAAAACAACATGCTTCTTGGTTCTATGAAAAGGAAATTACTGGGAGGTAGGAAGAGGCAGAGCAGGAAGCCGAATGCGAAACTGGAGTGGAGAACGAATGCGATTGCCATGGCGTCCAAATCCCACTGCTGCTCCCGAGCTGCCCAATCGGCATGCCCACCATCAGTGCTGCCCCCCCCCCGCTTGACAACCTCTCACCTTCAGCCATCAGCGACTATGTTCCCGTTCTGGTATGTCAAATTCCCCAGGGTCTTCGCTGCGCAAAGATACCCAGAGATAGTGAGAAGTCCCAGGGATACCTACGAATAAGAAGAATCAGCCAGGTCGAAGATAACATCGGGTGAGGATAAATCGATAATGTCTGAGATCTGGCGGCTCTGGAGGATGTATCGGGCGCCACGGCCTTCTCAGGTCGTTCCGGAACGCTCTGAGAGCGTTCTTGAACGCTCTGGACCGGATGTGTCCTCGTCCTCCTTGGCCCGCCCGTGCGACCTCCGAAGGAGTCTTGTGAAAGCCCATGGGGAAGCACGGGGAAGCATTCTCGGGAAGTCGACGGCAGGAAGGAAACGAAGACCCCGCGCACAGCTGGCCTCCTCCTCCTCCTCCTGCTCCGCCTCCTCCTGCTCCTCCTCCCTCCTCCTCCTCCCTCCTCCTCCTCCTCCTCCTCCTCCTCCTCCTCCTCCTCCTCCTCCTCCTCCTCCTCCTCCTCCTCCTCCTCCTCCTCCTCCCCCTCCCCGCCCCCTCCCGGATCGCGGCGTTGAAGGGGTCGTACCGCGCGAGGCAGTTGAACTCCGCGAGCGCGGCCAGGGCCCCTGCCTGCAGCGCCACCGCGGCCCCGACGGCCACGGCCTGGCCACGCCGCGGATTTTTGCTGCTGCCCCGCGCCGCGCGGCGCCTTCGGAGACTCCCTTCCTGAGAGTCCGGGCCGTCACGCGCCCTCGTCGGCCCAGGGGGGGTGGAGTAGCACAGGGGCCAGGGGGCGGGGTGAGTCGCGTCAGCTTACCGTGCCGAGTTCCCCTACAAATTATTCAGCCACCTAGGAAGCCCACATGGGCGACGAAAAGAAGGGGGTCTTCTGCAGCCCTCGCTGCCCCCTCCCACCCATTTATCGCCCCCCCATTACGCGCCCCCCAACCGACCCGACCTTGGCGTCATCTGGCCCGCAGAGGTGCGCTTCGTGCCCAGTTCGGGCCCCGCTGCCAGGCAGCAGCCTCGAAAAACGAGCTGCTGCATGCAACGTCCCGTCGTCGAACCTCGGCCGCGGATGGGTTCCCCGAGCTGCGCGCAGACCTGAGGAACGGCTCTCGGTGGTCCTCATTTCAGCGGCGTCTTGACTGTAGGTTGGGGAGGCGATACATGGGGGAGCGATACATGGGGGGGAGCGAGGGCTGCAGAAAAGGAGCCCTGCGGGGCCCCTAAAGGAGCCCTTTCGAGACCAGAAGGGGGCCTCTGGGGCCCGGAAAACATACCTTTCTTCCCTCATTAATCGCCCCTTCCCCCATTCAGCAATGCGCAAGAAAGGGCGGACAAAAAGGATCACACCAGGGGAGACAGGGGAGGCGGGGGCTAAGGTGACGAGGGCCAGGGCAGTGGGGCCTCCTCCCGAGGAGGAGGAAAGCGGCCGAGAGCGGCGCTGCCCCGATCCTGCGCCAGCGCGCAGGCAACTACATGCCTCTCATCTCACTCATCGCATGCGTCCTGGGCTCCCCTCTTCCAGTTTCCATCTTTCTCTCCTCCTGCTCCCAACCGCCTTCCCTCCCCAAGGCCAGTCCCCTCACCGCCCTGGCCCTCACCTGCCCACCAAGGGCGACCATTGGACGCTGTGCGAATAGCGTGGCCAGATACCCGCGGGTGCCCGCTGTGGCAGCGCGGCCAGACACCTTCTGTGTGCCACGCACCAGAACAATTGCACGCTGTGGCGAATAGAGTGGCCTGATATCCCTTTGGTGCCCCCGCGGATCGAGTCGAGGCGTGACGTCGAAGCGACACACAAAATGCGCGCAGCATTCAGACACTGCGGCGCTGGCCGCTAGCTCTGGGAAGGGCGGCTGGAGGAGGAGCAGGAGCAGGAGCAGGAGGAGGAGGAGGAGGCAGGAGCAGGAGGAGGAAGCGGAGCTGCTTGCTGCTTACTCCCCGGATCTAGTCGCCGAGTCCTCAACTCGGGCATTCGACGCCTGGGTCGCACGGGATTTTGGCACCAAGCACATCAGGCGCAAGCCGCTGGTTACTTGCCCTGTCTGGGTGGCAGCCCACTGGCAACTGCCTCTACCGCAAAGCAACCACACGGCGGGTAAGGGCTCTTGCTTCCCGGGCGAGCCCGCGGCCGCTTGCAGCCGCTCGCAGTGAAGCCCGTCTGCCGCTCCAACGAATGGACAGCGGCGGATAAGGACTCTTGCTTCCTGGGTGAGCCCGCAGCTCTTCAATATCCTTTCGCACGGCCGACCGCCTGTCGCTCCAACGAATGGGCAGCTCCTCGCGACCACCGCGTGGCTCTTGCAGCGTCTGACGAGGCACGGCTGATGGAGACGCTCCGTGCCCCTCCTTGCGCTGGCGGCGCGAACAGAAAGGGGGAGCGGGAGGGGAAAAAGGCTTCTTGGAAGGAGGCTGGCTCTTAGAAGGCGCCGGCCCTACATCTGTATACGAGGCCCGCGCCTTCTGGAAAGCCGCCTCCTTCTAAAGAGCCTTCCCCCCTCCCCTGCACTCCTCTGGCCGACTGCTTCCGCAGAGCCTGCTGGATCCGACCTTTGGGCCAAGCGAGGATGGAACCACAACGACGCAGGTAGGATTAAGTCGGGCCTGTCCCTGAATACTCAAACATAGAAAAAACGTGTGGGGCTTATTCTTGTTTAGCATCTTTTGGACATGTTTGATTCTTGTTTGTCTATTTCTAATTCCTCGAAATTCGGCCTGTAGGGGGACAGGCCCGACCTACGGGTACGACAAAATTGGAAGACAGGGCGCCGCGCCTCGGTGGCCCGCTGCGCGTAGTCGAACCCGGCAGGGTCCAGCAGCGACGAGGCGTTCACTGCGGCAGACACCTCGGCCTGCTGGGTCAGCTCGTCGACGACCTGGCACGGCAGGGGCGGCAGCGTGGCGCAGCGACGACCCCCTGGGGGAGAGAACGGTGAGGCAGGGGGAGAACGAGCCAGGAAGGACACGGACAGAATGTATGGAGGGAGCGAACGAGCGAGAGAGAAAGGAGGGGATTGGGAGAGAGAGAGATATATATATATATAGATGGGAAGAAAGAAAGAGAGAGAGAGAGAGAGAGAACATACAAGAGAGAGAGAGAGAAATAAAGGGCAGAGACCGAGGAAGAGAAAGAAAGACAACGAAAGAGAAAAAGAGAGAGAGAGAAAGAGAGACGTAGAGATGACAACAAGCGTCACGAAAACACTTGCTCGCGAAAGGCCAGGGCCCTGCAAGGGCAACCGGGTCAGGATCGATCCGACAAACACGGCAACGAAGACCAGGACCCTCCGGGAAGGACGTCGCAAGGCCAACCATACCAGAAGGCGCAAGGAAGGGCAACAGGGCCTGTATCCTGAAGGTCGACCCCGCCCCTATCTATGGTCAACGAGAGACACGGTGGGCAGCGAGAGCAGAGCCGCCAGGCAAGGCACCCACGGCTGGCACCTTGCAGTGCTGGCGGGATGAGCGGGTGCCCGCCCGCCGCCCGCCGGCGGCCTGGGCGGCCGACTGCGAGGCCTCCTCGCCGGGCCATCCCGGGCGCCCTCGGCCAGACAAACTGCCCCCTCCTGGACGCGTCGCCGAGGCCAGGAGGAGAGAACGGCCACGAAACCGCCGAGGGTGCCTGCCCGCCAGAGCAAGTCCTCGCAGCGGCCTGGGCAGCCGACTGCGAGGCCTCATAGCCGGGCAGTCCCGGGCGCCCTCGGCCAGACAGGGCGCCCCCTCCTGGAGGCGTCGCCGAGGGCAGGAGGAGAGTGCGGCCACGACGCCGCCGAGGGCGCCTGCCCCCAGAGCAAATCCTCGCAGGCTGTCGCCACCTGCGCCGGGTGCGGCCGCGCCGCGCGACGCCTGCGACGTCGCCGGCAGACCGCCGCGGGGGCCGAGGTTTCCCGCCGACGCCCCGCGAGAGGGTCGGCAACGGCACGGAGCGCCGCGCCGAGGAGCCCCCGCAGCTCCGGGAGGCGCGAGGCGCACGCGGCGGGAGGCGCCGCGGGCCGCCGCGGGCCGCCGCGGCCCGGCCGACGCCCGGCGGGACGTCCGCCCAGCAGGGAGCGCCACGCCGAGGAGCTGCCCCTCGCGCGGGCGCGCGCGGCGTGGGCGGGGCCACCCCGCCGAGGAGGGGCGAGCGCCCGGCCGACGCTCTCCGCGCGGCGGTCGGCCGCAGGGCGCACCACGCGGAAGGGCTCTTCCGACTCCAGGAGCGCGCGAGGCGCGCGCGCGCGCGGCTGCGGGGCGCCCTCGAGCCCCCCCCGCGAGAGCGCTGGCCTCCGCGTCGGCCCGCGGGGACCTCTTGGGAGGCCAGGCTCCAGCGGCCTCGTGAGGCGGCGCGGCCCTGCAGCGCGTGCGCAGCTCGGGCACGCGCGGGGCTGCCGCACCCGCGGACGCGCCCGGCGCCCTGCTGAAGGGGGAATTCCAGCGGCGCGCGACGGCCGCGCTGCCCTGCCACACCCGCCAAGCTCAAGCACAGGCACAGGAGACCGCCGCACCTCTTGGGGGCAGGCTCCAACGGCGCACGCCGCGAAGCCGCGCCGCCTTGCCACTCCCGCGAGGCTCAGACACACGGTGGCTGCCACATTGTACAGGCAGCTCCGCGGCCAGGAGGCGGCCTGAGCCCCCGCGCGCGCGCGCCGTTGTGCGGCGCGTCGGCGGCGGGCGGCGCAGCCGCTGCGGGCAACCGAGCCGCGACTCGCAGGGTGCGGAGCTCAGGCGGCTCAGGCGGGTCGCGCCCTCGGGCAGCCCATGGGCCCCTGCGTGAACGTGGAGGCCCCGATTGCTCTCGCGGCTAAGCCTGGTGGCGACAGCCCTGGCAGAGAAGTCTGACTGGGGTGCTGCGCGACCTGGGGTTCCTTCTGCCAAGCTCCCCACTGTTCACGAAATCGTCACCAAGCTGCGATCACAAGCCAGCCGCTCGGCGACTGCTCGGGCACATACGGATACAGAACATGAGGCGTGCGCCCTCTTCGTGACGGGTGGGGGGATTAGGTCAAGGCTTCCTTGAGGTTTCGGGGGCCTCGGGGCCAATTTGTCAAGGATCTCTTGTTCGGCAACGCTGGTGTTGGCGCTCGCCCCATGGATCACGGCCCAGCCCCAGAAGCGGGGTCCAGAGGCGCAATGGGGCGTCGCTCCCTCATGCCACGGAGGTCACCCGATGGCGTGAGCGCCACAGAAACTCCAAATCAGCGATAATTCCGCCCGAATTTCCCACTTACGCTTTGCAGTGGACTGCCCCAATCGTGCGTGCTCGCCGTAGCCAATGGAATGGCAACGCTGGTCGTGTCGAATCGACTGCGAACCAAGCGTCGCTTTGACACACGAACGGGCTTGCAGTCCGAAATTGGACACCGACTGCTGCCCCTGCCATTCCAACACCCGCTGTGGCGGATGACGCCTGACCGCGTGCTCAAGTTGGGGACCTCGGCAGGCGGAGGATGTGCGGTCGGACCTAGGACAAGAGGAGCCTCCTTCAAGAGCATGGAGCCCTCCGTTGGCCAAACCGAAGAACACGCGAGGCCCCGCCCACCCTCCCCCAGGATGCACCAGGACATCCCCAACAGACACGAGGAACACCAGGGCACCCTCCCCGAACCGACCTCGATCCTATACCTCGGTCCGGGCGCAGACGAGCAGGCTGGAACCACTGTCTACTGATGATCGGTGAACCTCCTGTTGTGGCTGCTCTGGCTCGGCTGTGGACCTCCTGTTGTGGTGGCTGTTGATGTGACAAACAAAAACCTGATAACATGGGAGCACAACGACCCGAACCTGTGATCAAACATATGGGCTGGCCCCCATCGCACGGCTCTGGCGTCCCTACCCTCAGGTCGGGCCTGTCCCCCTACAGAGGGATTTTGGCCGAAACAAAATACTAACAACAGATTCAAAAGATGCCCCAAACTTATTAAACAAATAGTCCCCTGACGATGTTTTGACTATGTTTGAACATTCCCCCTGTAGAGGGACAGGCCCGGCTTAACCCTACCGCTCCCCGCCGTTCCCCAGATCGCCTTCCCGTGCAGGGTGGCCCAGTCCGTGGCCGCGCCGCTGCACGGCGCCTCCTCTCGGCCCGCGGGGGGGCGGGAGCGGCGAGCAGGGAAGGCCCCAGAAACGGCAGGGCGCGGCGAGCAGAAGTCCAGCACCGGGCAGCCCCCTCCCCCCTCCCCCCCCCCCCCCTCCCCCCTCCCTCCCTCCCTCCTCCCCCTCCCCCCTTCCCCCCTCCCTCCTCCCCCCCTCCCTCCTCCCTCCTCCCTCCTCCCCTCTCCCTCCTACCTCCCTCCCCCCTCCCTTCCTCCCCCTCCCCCCTCCCTCCTCCCCCCTCCCTCCTCCCTCCTCCCTCCTCCCCCGCAGACGCAGGAGCAGACTAAACAATCGGGCGGCAGGGACTGCCAGCTCGAGCAGAGCAGGCAATACAGGCACAACATCTCAGAGGAAACACGAGGACCGCGGGGCGGCAGCGATGCGCGGAACAACACATGCCGTTCACTTCTCTGGCAGATGACTCAGCACTGTAAGACACACGGGCTCCTGGCGAGAATGAGGGCATCGGAGGCAGCCAACAACGGCGACGGCTGAAGGCGAGACCGGGTATTGGGGAAACCAAGAAGAACCGATACCGCTACTCTCCGCACCTCTCCTGGAGTGCGCTCTGACCAGGATTCCGAGGCGCATCCAGCGCCGGCGACGACGGAGGCCCAGGAGGCCTAACAAGCGGAAAACGAGGGGAGGGTAGAGGTACGGGTACCTGTTTATCCTCGGAGGTAGTGTCCCTCGAGGCAGCCATCCGCACGAGTAGCTATGTGATCGATCGGCCCCCTTTCCGCAAGCTTCTTGGAGCCGCAGTCTTGGCATGTGGGCCTCTCGACAGATGCCTCCTCCTCCTCCTCCTCCCCCTCCTCCTCCTCCTTCTCCTCCTCCTCCTTCTCCTCCTCCTCGTCCTTCTCCTCCTCCTCCTCCTCCTCCTCCGCCTCCTCCTCGTCCTTCTCCTCCTCCTCCTCCTCCTCCTCCTCCTCCTCATCCTCCTCCTCCGCCTCCTCCTCGTCCTCCTCCTCCTACTCCGCCTCCTCCTCCTTCTCATCCTCCCCCCTCCTCCTCTCTCATCCCTCCTCCTCCTCCGCCTCCTCCTCCTCCTGCTCCTCCTCCTCCTCCTCCTCCTCCTCCGCCTCCTCCTCGTCCTCCTCCCTCCTCACTCCTCCCTCCTCCTCCTTCTCATCCTCCTCCCCCTCCTCCTCTCCTCATCCTCCTCCTCCTCCTCCTGCTGCTCCTCCCTCCTGCTCCTCCTCCTCCTCCTCCTCCTCGGACACGGAGCGACGGCTGGCGTCGAAGAGAGTGGGTGCGCTCCTGGACAGCCTGAGCGGCCTCGGCCAAGCTCTCGATGGCACTGGCGAGGTCCTGCGCAGCAGCAGGGCGGATCGCCAAGCGGTGCTAGCCTCACTTTGACAAGTCTCACATTGCCGATTCTGCGTCCACATCCTTGCATGTATCCTCCGAGTCTGCTGCATGGACTCGCTCGTGCGTGCGCGGGCCCCCTCTTGCTACTGCTCCTCGCCCTGCTGCTGCTTCTCGCCACATCTTGCTGATGCTTCCCCTTCCTCCTTCACCTCCTCCTCCCCTCCCCCTCTTCCCGCAAGTGTCCTGCAAGCTGACGGGAAGATGCCCCGAGCCGTCTACTGGAGCAGGCGCCGTCGAGGGGTCCACCTCGGGTGGGCGGGGCGCGGATCGCCGCCTGCTGAGAACATGTCGGCACGCATGAAAGAAACAACAATCGTGCGAACAACGGGTGAGTTCTAGTAGCAGCCGGGGGCTGGCAAGAAAGCTGGGGCGATGAGACGGCAATGGAGCAGACGAGTCGCCGTTGGTCCAAAAGACGAGGCGTCAGGCGGTGTCAGAGGAACATGTAGTGTCCCAAGGTCATGCTGCAAGGGCCATGCAGAAGCTAGGGTGGATGGATCGACCGGAGGGTGATCGGTTACCACTGCGCGAGGCATGGTCACGCGAACAAGATGCGACCCCTCTCCTCTGGGAGGCGCCGCCAGTTTTGGGAGAGCTGCCAGGAGTGAAGACGGCGAGAATCTGGAGGCCGCCGCCCAAATGTTTTCAAAGTACATGAGGACGGAGGATCGCGCCGCGTCGGCGATTAATCGGAACACGTCGGCGATGCATCGGCGACGTCGGCGTGGAGAACATCGTGCTCCACATCGGGCTGCAACGCCAGCGCATCGCGATGCGGCCCGATCCTCCGTCCCCATCTACTTCGACCCTCCCTGAGATCCGACGTCAAACGTTGCAGCACGGTGAGTCGCCTCGACTGCAACCCATGGACCCCGTCTTCCTGGGGCATGTCTCAAGCCGGACCGATCCATGAGGGCAAACAGAGCAAAGCTGCGAAAAAGAGGCGACGCCAGCATCTGAGGTAAGACGAGGCCAGGACGAGGACAAATCCGGAGGAGGACAAATAGAGACTCTCTGAGATCCAGCGGCTCTGGAAGATGCATCCATCGTGCGCCGCGGCCACCTCGGAGCGCCCCAGAATGCTCGGAGAGCGCTCCAGCACGCTCGGGAAGAGATTTCTGTCCTCGCCCCTGGCCCCGTCCGATCAGGGCCCTTTCTTGGGGCGGCCTGGCGAATGCGAATCGGGCGTTTGGCAGAACTGGGTCTAGTGGGACCTGGTTTCGTGATATGTACTGGGGGACGCCTCCCCTGCCCCGTTCCACTGACCGGAACTGCCGTCACCCGAAAAAACACAAGCTTTACGGCAGACCTGGTCTAGTGCTCCTGGCCAATCTAGGGGCTTCGGGGCCCTACAACTAAGCGGGTCGCCTTACCCGGGGTCCTGGCTATGCCCGATCTCAGAGCGTCCCAGAATGCTCTGAGAGCGCTCTGGAACGGATTTCTGTCCTCGCCCCTGGCCCCGCCCGGTCAGGGCCCATTTTTCGGGGCGGCCTGGAGCGCGCGAGAAAGAGCCAGCCCGCGAAGAAAAGCGGGCGCGCGAAGAAATAACGCGATATATATATATAAATATAAATATATAAATATACATACACACATACATACATACATACATACATACATACATACATACATACATACATACATACATACATACATACATACATACACACATACATACATACATACTTGCGTACACACACATATATATCTACATATATGCATATATAACTCTCTCTCTTTATATATATATATATATACGTACATACATACATATATACACATATACATATACCTAGAGAGAGAGAGAGAGAGAAACGGCAAACAATAGAGGAGAGAGAGAGAGAGGAAACAAAACAAATATTTGAAGAAAGAGACGACGCCAGCTACGGCAAAGCTGGTTTAGTGAGGCTGGCCAATTTAGGTGCTCCAGGGCCCTACTACTAACCGGGTCCCCTTCCCTGGGGTCCTGGCTACCCAGACCCCTGACGTCATGATTTTTTCAGAGCGTCCACCCCCAGAGGTCTCGACCCATTGCCCAGGACCGGTTTTTCCTCCCGAGTCGTTGTTGTCACGGTCCCGAGGACCGGTAAGGGCCCCCAGAGGCCGAAAATCGCGAGAAACCTCGCGTCATGATTCCTCATGGCTCGAGGGGGCCTGGTGTATACCCCAGCAAACAGAAGCAGGCGCGCAAGAGGAGCCGGCCCACCAGCTCCGCGAGGCGCTGCGCGCGCTGGAGCGCCCGCGCGGCCAGGCCTACCCCGCCCGTGGTGCCCAGCAGCCGGTCGCTCACCTCCGATGCGGCCTGCGCGTGCGGCTGCGCGGGGAGGCGCCTGCAGCGAGCGGCCCTGGGGCCACCCTCGGCGTCTGTTCGTCGTCGTCGTCGTCGTCGATTCTCGTCGTCGACGTCGTCGTCGGTTCTCGTCGTCGTTGTTGTGCTCGTCGTCGTGGTCGTCGTGCTTCGTCCCCTCGGTGGGCCTCGATTTCCACCGCCGCCAGCACAAGTAGGAGGGGGAGGGGGTTCTCCTCCTCCTCCTCCTCCTCCTCCTCCTCCTCCTCCGCCTCCTCACAGCTGTGGCCGATTGCAGGAGCCCAGGAGGACGCAGGCCTCTTCCGACGGCGGCCCTGGTGACGACTTCGGCGTTGAATCTGGAACGATCGCGGCTGGCAAGTCGCGCAGGATGGTGCCGGCTTATTCCACTCCGCTGGTGGCCTTCACACTTGAACGCCTGCGCCAGGGACGCCGCCGCGTCGCCGCCGCGTTAATATGATGCGAGAGTATGAATGTTAGATACCCAAGGGTAGAGGTCTCCTAGGTGGGGTCGGAGCAGATGGGGTCGGAGGATCGCGCGGCATCGCCGATGCATCGGCGAGGCATCGGCGATTCATCGGCGACGCCAGCGCGAAAAAAAACTCGGGCTCCACATCGAGCCGCATCGCCGATGCATCGTCGAGGCGGCGCAATCCTCCGACCCCATCTCATCCGACCCCATCTGGGAGGCCTAGAAAGGGCGACTGCCACCGTTGGCTCCGCGGGCCCTCGTGCCGCGGCCGCGGCCCCCCCCTCCTTCGGGAGGAGGTTGGACCTGCTACGAGGAGGGCCCCCGCTGCAGCTGGCTGGCCGGCCGAGAGCGGCCCGGTGACAGCACGAGAGGGGGGGATGCTTGCGGCGCACCTGAGCGGGAGGCGCGAGGGTTGCGGCCTTCGAGAAAAAAGCGGGAGGGGGGCCTCGAAGAAGGACATCTTTAGAAGCCCTCCTGGCTCCTGAGGAGTCTTCGTGCGGGCCGGGGCCTTCTGGGGAAGCCGCTGCCTCACGAGACGCTCCCTGCGTTCTCAGAGGGCCCCCCTTGGCCCAGATGCAGCAATGGGGATGCACTGGCTGTCTGTCACACGGCGCCAAAGGAGGCGGCCGAGCCCGTGCGCTTCAGCGCCTCATCTCCGGCGGCTTTGGCCCCCGGAAGCCCCCGGCCTGGCGCCGACGACGGCCCCCCCCCCCCCCGACGACGACCACTCTGCCGCCTCTGGCCCGCAAGACCGGGCCATGCGAGGGGGCGAGGGCGCAGAGTGTGGGCTCGCCCGGGCTCAGACGGCGCGGGGATGCCTCGGGGACGACACCTTCCGAAACCGCCCTGGCCTGCCCCTCGCTTCCTCGCCACCCTCCTCCTCCTCCTCTTCCTCCTCCTCCTCCTCTTCCTCCTCCTCCTCCTCCTCCTCCTGCTCCTCTGCCTCTTCCTCCTCCTCCATTTACGTTAGACCAATCTGAGCGTAAGCAGTGGCGTTAGTCCTCCTCCTCCTCCTCCTCCTCTTCCGCCTCTTCTTCCTGCTCCTGCTCCTCCTCCTCCTCCTCCTCGTCCTCCTCCTCCTTCTCCTCGTCCTCCTCCTCCTCCTCCTCCTCTCCTCCTCCTCCTCCTCCTCCTCCTCCTCCTCCCTCTTTCACGTTAGACCAACCTGAGCGTAAATTGTGGCGTTGGTCCTCCTCCTCCTCCTCCGCCTCTTCCTCCTCCTCCTCCCCCTCGCCCCCCCCCCCCGCCCCTCACTTCCCCTTCCCGGCGGCCTGCACAACGGGGGTGGCGCGAGAGGAAGTGTTTCCGTTTCCAGCCCGGGACCTGACTGTCGCGCCTCTCTTGCTGGGGAATAGCTAGGGACTGCCACCGAGATCGCGGAGGCGCTCTGAATGCGAGTCTGAAGCACTGCTTGGGTTCAAGGCGTCCTCGGATCAAAGGGACGTCGACGATCGAAGGTCGAGGCACACTTGGCCTCTCCGAGAGGCCTCGCGCCGAACTCCCTCGACTTCGAACACGTGTGCTGCCTGATTGCTCTCCGTGTGATTGAGCGGACATGTGTGAGGACGTCCAGGGGCATGGGATGGCGGGGAGGAGAACGAGGATCACGAGCCGTACGAGGACGAGGACGACGAGGCGGAGGGCGGGGACGGGGACGAGGACGACGATGCCTTGGCGGAGGTGGACGGGCAGGAGAGGGGGAAAGATATGCACAGAGGGAGGGAACCGCCAGCGCGAGGAGCCAGGCGGGGTCCTCCGGGTGGTGTGCCCCCCCCAACACCACCACTCGAGGCACCCCCTGCCCCCAGCCCGGGGAGGCACCGCGGAGCTCCTCGCTCGAGGGGGGGCGCCCCCCCTGGTGGTGGGGTGGTGGTGGTGGTGGCGTTGCCCTGCTTTTCCCCCGACCCCCAACTCCGACGTCGGAAGTTTGTGCTTCACGGCCCTTCCCCAAGACAAGCTCTTCGTCCCGGGTTGCTTTCGGACGGCCCTGGGGCCCGTTGAGTTCCCTGGAGGGACGAACCTTGTCCAACCAAAAAACACATGCCGCCGTGGAGTTCCTCACCACGAGAGGGGGCGAGGGAGGGAGAAAGACCGATACCGCTGCTCCCAGGACCTCTCCCAGGGTGCGTCCTGGCCAGAATCTCAGGGCGCATCTAACCGCGGCCAGATGCGCCTCGCAGGAGGCCCAACACGTGCCAAGATTAGGTTGGGGACTGTCACCTACAGGAGGATTGTCTAATCTTGTGTAACAAGCAAGAAAGAGAACAGATTCACGACTACCCCAAAATAATCATAAAATCGTCCCCAGACTATGTTTTGACTATGTTTGAATACTCCCCCTGTAGAGGGACAGGCCCGACTTCATGCCAAGACGATGAAGCCTCGCGGCGTGTGCGTTCCCTCTCCTCCTCGGCGACACGCGAGGGAAGGGGGGTGCGCCAGCACCGCGGCGCGCTCGCAAAGGCCTCCTGCAGCTGCTCCTTCAGCAGCGTTGCCTGCTCGGAGCTCTGGTCGCCGCTCTGCAGGGCCAGCAGCGACAGCAGCGCGCCCTGCTCGAGCTGCCAGGCCAGGGCGCTCTCCTGCACAGGCGCGCCAGGGGCTGCGAGGGCCCGCGATCGAGGGTCGAAGGAAGGGGGACGAGGAGGAGGAGGAGGAGGAGGAGGAGGAGGAGGAGGAGGAGGAGGAGGAGGAGGAGGAGGAGAGGAGGAAGAGGAGAGGAGGAAGAGGAGGAAGAGGAGGAGGATCGAGGAGGATCGGGCAGGATCGGGGAGGAGAATCGAGGGGAGAATCGAGGAGGAGAGGGGATCGAGAAGGAGAGGAGGGCCGAGAGTGGACGGACGACGGAGAAGCGGACGAGGATCGAGGGGAGGGGGTCGAGGATTGAGAAGGGGAAGAGGACCGAGAGGGGGAAGAAGCAGTCAGAACCTGCGAGGCGGGGGGTGATTGGTCCATTCGGTCGGACCTAAGACAGAAGAACACTCTCCATGAGACCCTCCGCCGGCCCAAACTGAAGGACATTCGAGGGTGCCCTTCCGCAGGATACCCACGAACATCCAACAAACACGAACAGCATCAAGGTACCCTCCCCGAACCTTCCTCCTGCTTAACTATGCCTTGGTCCGACGGTCTACTTGGCCATCCCTGGGCCCGAATACATCCAGATCCACCGCCTGCCGAGGTCCCCGAAGATCGATCCCCCAGCCGGAAGTGGGGGCGGCAGCGCGCGAGGGGGGGAAGTGAGAAAGAGAAGGCCTTCTCAGGAGGCGGGGGGCGTCTCAGAAGCCCTCGCGCCGTCTGAGAAGTGTTTCTGTGTTACCGGGGTAGGCTCCGAAAACTTCTCAGAAGGCCTGGGGACTTCCGAGCCTTCTGAGAAGGCCTTATCATTCCCATCTCCCCCACCGAATGCCCCCACCTCACGTCTCCATTTGATGGAACTGCCTCGTTGGAATCCAAGCCTTCTGAGAAGGCTCGCCGCCGAATGGATGAATCCCCGCCTCGGACGGGCATCGCTCAGCTGGCCCTCCAGGAGCTCGGGGCGCGCCCTTCCATGGCCAACTCTGCGGCACACCTCCGAGCCCGCACACCCCAACGAAGGGAAGGGGGGGGCCTGATAGCGTAGTGAGATGCGCCTGCGAGAATCCCAGCGAAGCCACGAATAGGCGGGCGGCCTTACCGCCTCGAAATGGTCCCGCGGGAAGATCAATATATGACATATTTCGGGGGCGCGCAAGCATGGATTAGCGATCCATGGATTTGGCGCGCGGTCGCCAGATCCATCGATCGGGAGAGGTGCCCTCCCCAAAGTGCGGCCGTAGCCGCCTCGCTCGGCGGCGGAACCCCGAAATGCTTCCCATGGAAACAGGACCCGTCGCTGATCCACGCCCCCTTGATCCATGTTTGCGATCGCCTGAGAGAAGCCCAGCGAGGCGACGAATAGGCAGACGGCCTTACCGCCTCGAGATGGTCCCGCGGGAGGATGCATCTACGACATTCTTGGAGCTCTGGCTGCGTCGGGCGCTCGTTAACGAGGTGCACGCGGGGTTAAAAAAGCGTGCACCTGTCTAAACACCTTGTGCCGGGCCCGCGGGTGCAGCCTACTTAGGGGCCGCTTGGGGCTCCTTCGGGGCCACTCTCGTGCAGTCCTCGACCCCGCCCCCCCGCGTTCCCCCCCCCCTCCTCCTCCTCTTCCTCCTCCTCCTCCTCCTCCTCCTCCTCCTCCGCCTCCATCCCTTCTCCTTATAGATAACTCCTACTGTCGCACCCCGAGGCCAGTTTTTACGGCGGACTGGGCGTTTCGACTGAGATCCTCACCATTTATGACTCTGAAGTTTAAAACTTGACAACAGTTTCACAGATGGGGGGCGGCTGGTTTTCAACATGTGGCTCTCGCCTTAGCGCCGCAAACACTCGCTTCAAACATTTGCAAGGAGTTTCACGGATTGAGGGCGGGTCGTTTTCAAAATGTGGCCCTCGCCTTAGCGCCGCGCACATTTGTTTTAAACATTTGCAAGGGTTTCACGGATTGAGAGCGGGTCGTTTTCAAAATGTGGCTCTCGCCTTAGCGCCGCGCTCTTTCATTTGACAAAATTACCAGAAATCGCGGATTGAGGGCGGTTCCTTTTGAAAATGTGGCGCTCGCCTTAGCGCCGCGCGCATTCATTTGTAACATTCGCAAGAGTTTCACGGATTCTCATTATCAACGAACCAGAAATGCAGTTTTGGAAGGACTCTGGCATATGCGGGCGGAACAGTTATGTTGATTCGCTGTGTTGAAGTCCCACAAGTGGCGTTCAGGCACGAGTCTGGCTCGTCAAGACGCAGCAGTCAGGTTGATACGGGGCTTTGAAATTCCGAGAAGAATGTTTTGGCACGCTTCAAGATATTCAAACTGTTGTCTTCCAACCAGGCAGTTCCCTTAATAGAAATGAACCGTTGTAGGGGCCTATGAAGAGGGAGCGTGGAGGAAGGGTTAATTCCAGCATCGTTGATGACTCCTGGGTTTCCACTGGTCCTCCTCCTCCTCCACCGCCTCCTACTCCTCCTCCTCCTTCTCCTCTTCCTCCTCGTCCTCCTCTGGCCGAGCGCCCGAGTGAGCAGGGGGCATCGAACTCGACCCCCCACCCCAGCCTGGGACGCCCCGCCCTCTCTGGCAGCTCGGGCCCCCGAACGCCCAACGGAGCAGAGGGGCATCGAACTCCCCCCCCCCCCCTGGCCCGCCCGGGACGTCCAACCTTCCCTTTGAGCAGGGACCGACCGTCCCCGCATTCCTATAGTCCAACCAAGAAATGTGCTTAGAACCCCCAAAAATGTTCTAATAACAAAAACAAGGCTCTTAGAACATAACCCCCATGTGCTAAAACAAGACAATCTCCGTCAGAAATGTTCTAAGAACATTTCGTGGAAACCACAAAAGGTTCTTAGAACATTTTTTGGTTGGGCTATAGGCGAACCAGGACGCTTCGCCACTGCTTGATCCCTGGCAGCTCGGGCCCCCCTCGAACGAGAGCGCAGCCCGCTCGCGAGGACCGCCGAGGCCGGCTCGAGACTTCGGCGGCCGCGCTGCTCTCGGCGCCGCCCTCGAGGGGCCGCCACCGTGCTCCTGCGCGCGCGCGCGCGCCTGCGGACCGCCGCCGTGCTCCCGGGGCGCGGCGAGGCGACAGAGCGCCCTGTCGCCTCGCGAGAAAACGACCACAGCCGCTGCTTTTCTTTTGCTGCCGCCTTCCAGCCCGCAGACACACAGCAGTGGTCGTGGTCATTTTCGTTGAGCTTGGCACCAGGGAAATGACCACACCCACTGATTCTTTTTCGGCCGGCTGGAAAGCGGCGCAAACAAGAAGCAGTGGCTGTGGTCATTCTCCCGTCCCGCAAGAGCAAGGGCACAGGATCGAAAGCACCACGTCTGACACACAGCACACCCTTGAGCTGACTCACGGCTTCGAACAGGACATCCGAGCGCACCACCCAGTGCCGCAGCCACCAGGCTGTGAAATTTGGGCATGCATCGGATCAAGATCATGTGTGTGCGCTGTCTTCACGTTCCTCGACACTTTCGCTGCGACACGCAAGTTGTTCGAAGATGCGCAGCACGTCATGGCCCAGACTGGGCCATCAAACGTGGAGTGACAATATCTTCTGAATCTGGAACTGGCTCTCGAAATCGACTCAACCCCATCAAGGAGGCACAACGGCCCATAGATAGCACGAGACGGCGCAAGGATAGGGATCCAAGATGCCCAACGATGCAAGGGTAACACATTGATAATAATGGTGTCATTAGTAGTTGTGCCTACTGTTCTGCTCGCAGGGTTCATGAATTTGATTCCAAGACGACCCCAAATGCTCGAGCATGTATGCGACATTACGCTGATAACCTGACGCCCCCCAAGCGACCAACCCATCAGCGGGGCAACGGCTGCAGATGGCGAAGCCCTTTTATGGTGTCCCACCAGAGCTACATGCACCCAACTCCTCCCCAAACTGTGCATCTCAGATCCTGGCACTCCCGTCTGCGAGTGTGAGTGAGAGTACATTTGCCTGTGGCGACTGGGCGCTCCCTAGCGGCTCCCCATCGTGGGGTGCGCAAATGCTATGCCTGCTGCTACGTCGGGGTGATCTCGGGGTGATCTCGGGGCCCTGAAAAGAGAAGGTTGGGGGTGCCGAAACCAGCGTTTACTCCGACTCGAAAGAGCCGTCTTCACGATTTGGCCCGCCCTAGGGAATGCTCACACGAGCGCCGCGCTCGAGACGTACTAACGATCTGCTCCGATAGCAGATGAGCCCCAGCCCTAGGTCGGATGTGTCCACTACAAGCGGATTTTGGACGAAAGATGCAACATACTTTTATAATACTCCAAACATGCCCAAGAGTAGTCCAACCATCCTCCCCATACTATTTTTTGAATATTTGGGAATACTCCTCCTGTAGATGGACAGGCCCGACTTAACCCCAGCAGCGAGACGAACAAACCGCCCGAGACATCCCAACAATCTGGCAGCGAACGGGCAAGTGCCCACAAGCCGGGCCTGCTATGTCGCGGTGACCACGGTGCTGTCAAAGGAGACGAGATTGACCAACCAAACAGGCAAGCCGCCTGGGGCATCCTCACAATCTGGGCGCGAACGGGGCCGTGCAACCATCCCTGGAGCCTTCCCCCCCCCTCGAGGTGCTGCAGCATGCGCCTCGCTAGAAACAAACGTCACGCCTGCTATATCGCTGCGATCACTGGGCTCTGATAAGAAACGAGTCTGATCAACCAAGCAGGCAACCCGCCAGAGACATCCCCACAATCTAGGCGCGAATGGGCCGGTGAAGTGCCCACCGGACGCCCCTTGGGTGCTGAACCAGGCGCCTCGCCTGAGACGGCCTCGCAAGCTGCTCCGAAAGCAGAAGATGTTGAACATGCAAACGGGCAACCCATCTGAGACGTCCCCACGATCTGGGTGCGAAACGGGCCAGTGACATGCCCTCCCGGCGCCACCCTAGAGAAGTGCTGAAACATGCGCCTGGCCTGAAACATGCTTACACATTGCTCCGAAAACAGAAAGTATGTTGAGCATGCACAGTGGCTAACCACCCGAGGTCCTCCCTGGAGCTCCCCCCTTGGAGGTGCTGGAGCCAGCGCCTCGCCTGAGGCATCCTCGCAATCTGCTCCAGAAGCAAAGGAAGTTGAGCACGCAAGCGGGCAAACCGCCCGAGACACCCCCACGATGTGGACGCACGCGACCGGGCTCGTGAAATGGCCCCTTGGCGCCCCCCCACCCTTTGGGGTGCCGAAGCCAGTACTGGCAATCGCTCGGACATCCATCCCCTGTGTTTTGTTCGGTTTCGTGCATGTTTTTTTCGCCAAATGATCGAGGATGCTCCTCGATGGTCCTCGCCGAAGGAAACATGCACACGTCCGAGCGATGCCAAGAGTACCTCGCCTGAGGCATCCTTTAGGTCTGCTCTGGAAGCAGAGGGTGCTGAGCATGCAGGCAGGCAAACCGCCCACGGCATCCCCACAATCTGGGCGCGAGCGGACCCGTGATATCACCCCTGCCGCCCGCCCCTGGGGTGCCGAACCCAGCGCCCCAGGGCCTCGCCTGAGACATCCTTACAACTTGCCCCGAAAACAAAAAAATGTAAGCATACAAACTGGCACGCCGCCCGAGACATCTCCACCTTCTGGGCGCGAAGGGGCCCGTGAATGAAATGATTACCCCGCTGCCGCCTCCCCCTTTGGGGGTGCTGAAGCGAGCGGAGTGCCGCAGTGCCTCCTGCGCCGACTCACCACACAGCGAGTCTGAGCGAGGGAGGATGAGCCCGAGTGTAGGTGGACATAAGCGTGAACGGGTCTGAGAATGAACGAGTCCGAGCGAGTCGGAGCCTGAGGGAGGAAGAGGAGGGATGCGGGTGAGTATGAGACAGTCCGAGAGTGAGCGGGTCCGACTGTGTGTGTGTGTGTTTGTGATTCTGACTGTGAGTGAGTCTGCGTCTGAGTGAGTCTGAGTATGAGTGAGTATGAGTGTGCGTGCGTCTGGGTGTGAGTGAGTCTGAGTGTGAGTGAGTCTGATTGTGAGTGAGTCTAGGCGTGAGTGAGTCTGGGTGTGAGTGAGTTTGAATGTGAGTAGCTCTGAGTGTGAGTGAGTCTGGGTATGGCTGAGTCTGAGTATGACTGAGTCTGAGTGTAAGTAAGTCTGGCTTTTACAATAGAGTGCGTAAGACTATCGGAGTCAGTCTGAGTGAGTGAGTGAGTGAGTCTCAGTGTGAGTGACTCTCAGGGTGAGCGAGTCTGCGTGAGGAGGAGGGACAAAGTGGGGATTAGGATGAGTTTGAAGAATAACAAGAACACCACTTTAGGATACTGTGCGACATACGAAACAATACGTCCACCCCATTAGGTCAGGCGTGCTGAGGCTTGTGAGGCGTGGGTCTCCTGGCAGGCCGCCCACAAGGTGTGATTGACCGCGTCTGGCTCCAGCGCGAACCGGTTCAGCCCCGTGGAGGGGTCGACTTCCTGGTGGAGCTGGGGCGCCAGAGATAGGCAGGGGGATCCGAAGTGAGCGGGGAGTGATCCAGAAGGTACGAACCAGGGAAGCACCCGCCTGCTCTTCCTGCTCCTGCTATCTCGTCCTCCTCTTCATCTCCTCCTCCTCCTCCTCCTCCTCCTCCTCCTCCTCCTCCTCCTCCTCTGGGGGGAGGGGTCGCGGGAGGACCGAACTGCCCCCTGCCTGTCAGCCCCACTATGGCTCTCGCACCGCGGCGCGCACGGGTGCACGGTGCGGGGAGGCGGCGCGGCCACGACTTCCCCGCCGCCGCAGGCTGTGTCAGGTCTCGCCAAATATACGCTTGTGCTCCCCGCTCACTTGCGCGCTCGCTGCGACGGTCGAGCAGGCGGACACCGAACGCCGAGTCGAAGATCAGACGGCCGCTCCAGTCGAAGAATGCTGCGCGGGGACGTTGAGCGAGCCCATCCACAGAAACACAGAAACCAAAGGGAAGACAACCGGGTAGATCATGACTTGAACTTTAGGCGTGTGCCCTTGAACGCAGGGAGGCTCAGCCCTGCCGTTGCTTGAGAGACCACGGGAAATCGCCAAAACGATCGCAAGGTAGCCGTGGTCCGCGCCTAGACCGGCATTGACTACGCCGCGTTTGGACCATAGCCGGCGCTAGTTTGACTCATCCGTTGGCTAAACCAAGCCTGGGCCATACGACCCTCCTGGCGCAGCTCCTCTGCGGGGGTAACACATTCGCCGCGCAGATTCTCAGAGCAAAAATAAACAAAACGGAGCGGGCAACGGATACTGGCAACAGGCACGCAGAGGATCACACGAACAACTTTATCAAACGAGAGACCAAACAAGTTGAACGCAAGTAGTTCAATTGTACGTGCTGCACTGCCTTGCCGAAGTCGAAGTGCTACGACTCGCCTGCCACTTCCTCCCCCTCCCGGCAGGCACCGCCGAAATTTCCGGATATATTTACTCATGCATACACAAGAAGCGTACGTACCTGGTAGCAGACGTTGACCCATTGCTGCCTTTCCACACAACCGAGCAAACAACACAACGATCCAATGCCAAACGATTGTGAAGACGTACGCTCCAATCATGCACTTGGATATTCAATAAGTGAAGGCAACAATCCTGCGGGAAGGTCTTGTGAGGGTCAGAGCACTGCACCAACTCCGCGCACTCGTTGGGCGATGCAGCGAAGCAAGTGCCGTTGAACACCGCCTGACGTGGCGATCTCTAAGCAGGTCAAGGGGTAGACTGCTTGGAGGGGGCAGGGCAGACATCACCTCCGTAACATCACCAACCTGTCTAAGTGCGCCGTGGTCACACCAAGATAACTTGCTGGGGTCCTGACAGACATCGTCTCACATGCCATGGACAACGACTGCAACTGTGCAACTCCATTCGAATCCTCCCGCAAATCTTGGAGGCGCCCACAGGGGGTGGCGCTGAGTGGGGGCGGGCTTCTCAGAAGGCAGGGAGAGCTTCTTGGAAACTCCGCCGCCGTCTTGAATTGGCCCTGGGGCTTCCAAGAGGGCCTCTTGGAATCCCGGCAGTTGTGTAAGAAGACCCCTGCCTTCTTAAAGGCCCGCCGCCTCCGTAGAAGCGCAAGCCCTCTCGCTCCGCCTCGTCGTGGGCGCCGCCAGAAAGCATCGCACTTCACTTGCTGCACGCGCTTGAACGCGCATGAACCGTAAGAGGACGTGCAAAAACAGCAGGGCGGGGAGCGCGATGATAACGTGCTGGAGGGCGGGGACAAGACGGCGGATGATTAGCATGACAAGCACGACGACGAGGAGACAGATTCAGCAAGAGGAAGGAAACGAACGCAGGTGGACAATACCCAGGAGGGACAAACAAGAGGTCGAAAACCGACGGCTGCTGCAAGACGGCGAGGACGAGAAAGAAGAGATGCAAAACATCACAAGCCGTTTCAAAAAGCAGCCGCAAAAAAAAACGGCAACCATACTTGTCAGAGCGAATGGCTTTGGCAACCCCGAGCATTCGGTGAACTGCCAACGCGAACATTACACGCATGACATCTGCGACATGATGTGCCGCGATTGAGACAATGGTCTGGCAACCGGCGGCAATGCGATATCCGCTGGCCTCGAGGTTCCCAGCGGAGTCGTAGGCGCTCGTCCACGAGTCCTCGTACTGTTTACGAGATACTCGGGCTGCGACCCTGCTGGTGGCACAGAGCTCCTTTGCGCCGCCCGTGACCACCACATCTAAGACCTGGGGCGGGGCGCAACTTCCGCGCAGAACGTGACGGTAGGCATCATGAAGTTCATGTTGAGGAATGCTTGTCAAGGGGCCCTCATGTTACGACACGACATATCCTTCGCTCCATCAAGCACACAACGATTTCAATTCCCAAACAATTATGTGGAAGACCGGGCCAATCCGCTGACTAGCAGCGGTTATGCTCAGGACGCTCATCAAACATCGAGGCAGAGTGATTTCGATGTGTTCTGTCACAATTTATGCTCGCGCGCCACCACACGACGTCTTTGGTGTCCGTTCCATGGGAGCCTGCGTGGCCCCTGGCGCTGTCCGATTGGAGCTTGATTTGGACCAAACTTGGAACACATTTGGGTCCAGATCTGGACCGCATTTGGACCAGATTCGCACCTTCACAGGAGAGACGAAGAGAACGAGGAGGGGGGGAGTAAGAGCAGGAAGGGCGAGGAGGAGTAGGAGGAAGGGCCAAAGAAGGTCCAAACGCAGTCCAAATGCAGGAAAAGCTGGCTTCAATGTCGCCGCCCACGGCTCCCATGAACGGACATCGAAGACGCCAGGTGGAGTAAGATCAAGAGAAACTCCACCAGCATATTCTGTAACGCTGAGTCGCGCTGGCCGCCGTCGTGCGCTGCCGCTGGTGAGCTCCCCGGAGCGGCCCTGCCCCCTGCGAGACCACACTTGGGCCCCCGACACGTCGAGGCCGACATGCGGGGTCACCTCTGGGCGCCAGGTCCTCTCACGCCATGCCCTACGAAAGCTGTGGGCGTGAGTGTGCGTTTCGAAGGCGGTGCCAAGCAGCTGGGGCTCCAGGCTGCCTCTGGCAGGCCCCCAAACGAACCAAAAGCCTTCGGCCCCAGAGACCCTCGGTGGGCCCCCGAGGAGGCCCCCGAGAGGCTCGCAGAAGCCTTCTAGACGCGACCACGCTCAAGGAAGAGACGCAGAACGAGGCTGCGGACTGACGTTGGAGGCCTGGAAATGGGCACCAACACCACAGGGGGCTGCCTCCACAGGGGGAAGATGATCCTAGATTTCGGTGTTGGTGGAAATATTTCGGTCACCTTGGAAGCCAAAAGATTGCCACCATCACCGAGATCGGGATCTTCTTCCCTCGATTGGTGTCAACCTCTAGGCCTGCGAATCGGGGGATTGGGGGGCGGGCGTGTGTCCTAAACTCAACATGTTTCCTGCTGCGCTGCTGCGCTGGAGCGGTGGCGTCCTCTTGCACCCGCAGCTGGGCAGACAGTTTGGTTAACAGAGGTGCATGGCAGAATCGGCGATTGACTAACAGGGGCGACAATCACCATGCCGACGCAGAATACAAGCATCACCCCCAAGCCAGAGTCCCTCCCCGCCAACAGCAAGACATTCACAGACATCCGCTGCCGTCCGATATTCTAGATGGTACAAGGCACCGCCGAAGGTGAAGAATCATCGGAGCCACCCCCGGCGCTCAGAACATGCCGTGTATGCACTCTGGGCCGCCTGCCTCCAGCGCCGAGCATACAAGTCAGGCCCTGACTTGAGGCCCGACTCCCAGGCCAGGCCACCCCGCACGCACCTCCTCCTGGTCGGGGACGCCCTGATCCAGGTCAGCGCCGACCCGGGCCTGCCAAGGTCCCCCCCTGTGGCTCCCGAACCCGGGCCAGCCAGAGGTCGGGAGCATCCGGGGGGCGTCCAAGAGGGGGGGGGGCGCGAATCGTGGCCGGCGGCATGTGCGCGGCCCAGCGGGGGGCCAGAGGCGTATTGAAATAAGAGGAGGCGCCACGCAATCTGGAGAGATACCATAGCCCCAGCCATGAAATCCCCCCCCTCCCCCCCAGTCATCACCCCGCTCTTGGCCGCCCCCGAAGATGGGACCAGCAAGGACTGGCGGACCGCTCCTCTTCAGGGCCGACACTGCCTGGTGCCCGTGCCGCGACGGACAAAAACTCTCGCCGCTGAGAGGAGGGACACTTCGAGAGAACGGCTGCGCTCCCGCCCTGCGCACAATCCGCTCAAGATCGGCCCCACGACCCCCCCCCACGTGGGGGGTGAAGACAAGGACCCACGCCAGAGGTCAAAACATCCACCCCGGTAGTAACCACCCCGACACGCGAAGTCGTGCAGTAAACGCGCCCACCGAAGGAGTCGAACAGGGCAGGGCTGTTTAATAAACGCCCAGGGCCGTTTGGCAAACGCCACTTGTCCGGTCCGGGTGGCCTTCCCTCCCTTGCTTCAGGGCCCCTTCTTGGGGCACCGGCAGGCTCCCAGAGAGGGGCCCTCAAGCCTGCCCCATTCGGGGCCCTCTTCTTCGCCCCCCCATGTGGGCCACCCCCCCACGACCACCCTCCCGATCCATCCCGGCCCCGCCCCTCGAGGCGGCTCCGACCGTTCGGCGGTGGACAAACCTCCCTTTAATAAACCTCCCCTTAGTGAAAGCGGCCTGGGTCCGAAACCGACGGATCTGGACCCGCAAAAATGACGGCCGTGACGTGTCAGGGTAGGAGGTCTGTCCACCCCCGAGCCGTGGCGACGAGCGAAGCCTCCAGAGGCCCCGGGAGATGCCGACGACACGCGCAGGGCAGGGCCGGCGTGGCCTCGCCTGGCCCTCCTCCGTCCCGGAGCTCCGGCGTCGTGCTCCGTTCCGCACGGCGTCGACCCCGGGAGGTCCGGACCCCTCACCTACGAGACGCGTCAAGGAGAAATTGGCAGCTCTGTGCAGCGGGCGAAGAGCTGTTGAACCGAAACTTCTCCGCCGTCGGGGACGCCCGACCCAGGACGGCTGGAAAGTTTATACACAGGGCGACTGGAAAGTTCATGCCGCCTATAAGCGACGAAAGCGCCCGAAAGCCTCGAACATCCAACCCCCTGAGACCATCACCCCCTAACGCTGCCCCTGAGCCAGGCCCGCGCCCCCGGCAGCCAGGGGAGCCCAGAGTCGACTCGGTGAGTGGGATGGGAGATCGAATCGAATCCGTCGGCGGAAAACCGGCAGCCAAGCCGGGAGGACTCAGAATCGGCGGAAACCGGCAAGCTCGTGAGACCTCCACCGGGGAGCCGACATCCGGATCGACAGCGGCTCTCTCGGCCGACCCTGGCCAGGCCAGCGCCCCCCCCACCAGCCGCGGGGTGGAAAAGGGAGGGGGCGAGGGGAAACATGAAGGGGGAGGAGGAGGAGGAGGAGGAGGAGGAGGAGGAAGGGAGGAGGAGGAGGAGGAGGAGGAGGAGGAGGAGGAGGAGGAGGAGGAGGAGGAGGGAGGAGGAGGAGGAGGAGGAGGAGGAGGAGGAGGAGGAGAGAAGGCTCACGTGGGGGGGGGGAACGTCGAGCTGGAATCGGCGAGGCGTCGCCGATAAGGATGCGAAATCGAGTTCACTCGGAATCGATCGACATCTCATCGAAGCGAGTCGACGTGGGCCCCAGGCCGCCAGGGGGAGGAGGCAGCGGTGCGCCGCGGGCGCCGCCGCGGGCCTCCGCGCCCCACACCGTCGCGAAGGCGCGCTCCACCTCCTCCGCCTGCCTGGCGGGTGGCGCACGGCGGTGCGCGCAGGCAGGGTGGGGGGACGCCGATGGGGTGAGATCGAAGACCGAGGCGGATTCAGGACGCCGCGGCGAGGGTCCAAGATCTACGAGAGCAGGGGAACGAGCCGAGACGCGGAGAGAAACCCGATCGGAGAGCAGCACGGACGAGCCGATCACGACGCCCGAAGAGAAGGAGGGCGAACCCATGGCAGCGGCAGTAGTGCCAGGAGGAGCTGCCGCAGCGCCGACACAGGCTGCAGCAGATCGCAGAAGGAGGAGGGCCAAGGATGTCGAGGAGGGGGGAAGGGGAAGGGTCGAGGGTGGAGGGGGATCGGACCGGGGATCGGGGAAGGGGAGGAGGATCGAGGAGGGGAGGAGGATCGAGAATCCGGCCGCCTGGTGGAGGGCCAGGGGTGCTCGGGGCGCGGGCGCGCTGAGGGTGAGCTCTGCGGGGTGGACCCTGAACCCTAAGCCCTGCACCCCCCGCTGCCCGCTCGCCGTGCTTCCGCGTTCAGCACAGCACCCAAGACTCAACTCCACAGCGTCCGTCTCCAACACAACACCCAGCACTCAACACCGGCCAGCCATAACTGGGGGAGCTGTGGTCCTTACCCCCCTGGGGGAACCCATCGCCCCCACGAGCTCTCGAACGGGGTGTCGACATCGATGGGCCCCCCCAGGGGGGTAAGGACCACCGCTCCCCCAGTTGTGGCTGGCCTGCAACAGCCCCCGTCTCCAACACAACACCCCGTCTCGGGCGGGGCCTGCCGCCGAGGAGGGGCCGAGGAGGGGGAGGAGGAGGAGGAGGAGGAGGAGGAGGAGGAGGAGGAGGAGGAGGAGGAGGAGGAGGAGGAGGGGGAGGAGGAGGAGAACCAGGAGCAGGGGGAGGAGGAGGAGGAGGAGGAGGAGGTGGGCAGCTGCCCGCAGCCCGCCCCCCGGCGGGATCGGGCCTCGGAGACCTCGGCGGGCGGCGGCTGCGGATGTAATTACAGTCAGCCCGTACACACTGGCCGCCGCTCGGACGTCCATTCCCCGTGCATGCTTCGGTGTCGTGCGCGCTGTGTGTTGCTGTGCTCGGTGATCCAGGGTGCTCCTCGACGGCCCTCGCCGAGGAAAAACGGCACACGCCCGAGCGACGTCAAGAAGAAGGGCGCACGATGAGGATGCAGGGGCCCTGGAGGGCCACGTGGGCCCTGTGCGAGAGGGGCGCGGCCAGCAGAAGCGGCCAAGGATGGGCCCGAAGCGGCCAAGGATGCGAGGGCAACCCTGGGAAGCCGCTCTTCCTCACTGTGCGGGCTGGCTGTAATTATATGACCCCCCAAGATCGATCCCCCTAAGGAGCACGTTTCTTTATTTTCGGCGATGATGGGCATTATTAGGGGGGGAGGGGCCAGGGGGGGTATACTGTAACGCCTCCCCCCCGCCGTGCGCACGGCAGTGCCCGGAGCGCACTGGGGGGGCAGGGGCGTTACGTCATAGGGGGGGGAG